TTCTGCTACACTTACGCTTGCCTAACAAAGTTCTGGTTACTAAAACGACCATCCATGCACTGAATTCCGGGATCAAATATTGAGGAGGATTGAGTGGGAAAAAAACGTCCCTCTAAGGTAAATATGGCTTTGCAATAGTTTATAAAAAATACTTGGTTTACTTGATCAAAATATTGGCAAAAAAGTCAGCATCTCCGAATAGGTTATATTGGTCGAGATTGCATCGAATAGAATACGATCGTGCTCCCAAAGGCGACTTCAAAGCATAGTGATTTATGTTTGCAGGAGATGATTTGTTTCACAAGTGGACCTATTTAAAGACTATTTGATTCATTTAACAGGGTATAGTATTATTTGTCTCGTCTTTCCGAACGATTCGGAATTTGTTGTTCCTTACTTTTGTCGCGAATTGGCCTCACTAAGGACATTGCGGAAAAATATTTCAGAAAAATGCCTCTCCTTAATGCACGGAAATAATGCGTTATTTATAAGCCAGTCGTGACTTAATTATGCTCAACTTAAAAAATGGCTTTTCAGCGAACGATCTAGAATAAGAGCTGCACGCGTTGCTTGAAAGAGCTATTGATCTCTAATCAGCGGAACTTGTTCCAGGTAAGTAATAACAAACGTGATCCACATCTAGGTTTATAGGTTGTGAAAACGAGTTTGTGTCGTCTTACAATCTATGCCAGCGAGCATCATGGTTAATTAAGCTAAAAAGATAATTTTTGGTTGTTTTTGTTCACAATTTGCTTTTTTCATGAAAACTTTGCCGTTTCGTGAAGAAGCGAGAACGTTCTTACGGCGCTAAAACTTAGCCTTTTTGTAATATAAAAACCTGTATTACATGGAACATTTAAGATTTTCGCTTTGGTTTTTAATTTTTCCCTTTGGGTTTTTTCCAAATATGAATTTTAGGATTTCAGTTCCTAATCAGTCGCTAAAAGATTTTCTAAATTTCGAAAGAGCCTTATTTCTAGATGAAGCCTGTTGAAACAAACTACAATACGCGAAAAGGGCATATACTGTCTCAAACCACGGTTGAATAAGCCCATAATTCCTGCAACTCACCGTCTTTTAGCGCAAGGGGAAGAAAGAGGCGCAAAACGTTTGACTCGACGGAAAAGCCAATGATATGTTTTGTTGAAATTGTATTAGACTGAGGAAAAATCGTAAAAAATTTGACCCTTTTTTTATTTTGAAAGGCATTATGCGAGGGAACTACAATATTGCTTTACCAATTTGCTACTTTCAAACAGAAAATATCGCTTTACGTTTTGCGAGAAGATAACAACTGCTTGATGTCGGAGTTCTCCATTACTTTTGTTTTCCTTTACTATTTTTTTTCGGTGGGTTTGCTTATCGCTTTGTTTTGTTTTTGTTTTTGTGTCTGTTTATATTTATTTCATACTGGCCATAAACTGTTAACTTTCCATTTTCTCAATCGTTAACTTTTCGAAGTCTTACTATCGGTCGTGTCACTTGGTTTTTTATGGTCGAACCTCGACTATCCGAACCCGTTGGGACTAGACGAAATAGTCCGGATAATCAAGAATATGAACATTAACGAGGAACAAGAACTGATTAAATTAAGAAAGGGACATTTAATCGTGAAACAAAACATTTATAAATCGTTTTGAGGAAAATATGATCTACATCTTCACTGCCCGTTGTGAATACCTCTACAAGTGAAAAATGTTTTTATATTGGCCTAAAATGTCGAAGTCAGTCAGGTTGTCCCAAAGAAGAATATCGCGTGCGGATTGAGAGTTCTATCATTCTTCGAAGATGCATAATCCGGATAGCGTCAACATTGTTCTGTCTTTCCTTTCAAAATAAACACTTTTTAAAACATTCAATAGCTTCAGAGTTCGAAAAAATTTTATTATCCTGGCCTTCATCTTCCTAATCACCGCTACTTTCATCTTGGAAAGAAGACTGTACAACGCCGCTCTCTAAAATTTGCTCATCGGACAGCTGTGGGGAGTTGGAAGCTTATTTTCACTTAGCAACAGAGCAACTCTTAACCAATCAGACCTCAATCCAATTGACTTCATTAGTTACGACGGGTGCGAGCGCTGCTTTTGCTTCTTGAAAGCGAAACAAACTCGCCTTTACTTCACTTTTCAACGCTTTAATTTTGAAAAATAATATGCCGACGGATCTTGACCATTGCTAATAAACATTCATGACAAAATTGGGACCACAGAAGAAGTCCGGATAATCGAGAAATCCGGATGATCGAGGTCCAGATAATAGAGGTTCGACTGTATGTATACCGCTTACTGAAGAGCTGCGTAGCAATATTCTAAGGAGCTTTTTTAAATTTTATGAAACTACGTTGGCACCGAAAAATAGGAGAACACAGAAAAAACATGGAATCGCTTTGGAAGGTAGGAGGTAACACAAGACGGATGAAATACAAATCGATTGAAAGATGACGAGCCTGGAGTCCGGTTTCTGTTTCAGGAAAATGCTTTCCTTTCGCTTTCTTCTTCATCACAGTAGTCAAACTGATCTCTCTATGAATTCGCTTCGCCTATAGCGCCGATAATTGAGATGCGAGATGTGCAAGTGAGCTCCTTTGCTATGTTTTCTTAGACAATTGTAGGAAAGTGCAAATATTTTAAACTGCGTTTTGCTTGTGAATTCAGAAATTGCTCAAATGAACCTCATTAGTTCCAAAGAACGAGAAGCGAAGACATTTTGAGTGGAAGAATTAAGTCACGTTGGAACGCTTGATTTTATTTTTGGAATGTATATCATATTTCTATTGAAAAAAAACATTTAAATACCAAATTGTTATCAATCGATGCTTTCTGAGACTCAAATTGATGCTCGCAAATGTTTCGTAAGATTCTCGCTTGTGCCAAAAGCAATTGATACTTTTCTCATGCAAATGTGCAAATGACCAATAGTTGACTCGTTTGTCACTTGAAAGAGCAGCTGCTGACATTCAAATCAACCAATCTGGTTTGATTTTTTTTTTAATTTTCCCACTCTGATGTGTCTTTTGATGCGTCTTCAAGTGCTCTTTGTCTTCCAACTTAACTTTTAGTGCATGAAGGCCAATCATTTCCCCTGCTGACGCCTTCTGACATTTTTTTTTTCTTTTTTTTTTTAATTTGCTGCTTTGTGACTCCAAATTGCGTGATTACCCACCCACATTTAATTGAACAAAAAGAAAAAAAGGCATTGGGGTTAATTTCGCTTAAGACTCTGACAAGCTGACTCTTATCCCAGACCTCACCCTTGTATATTATTTGCAGCATCTTATCTGTGCTTGTCCACTACTCTGCTGACTCATATTTTCTCTGAATTTTGCTTTGTTAGGCTACTGGTTTTAGACAGTCTTTTTAACCGTCACATTTATCAAAAATGTCGGCTTCCCAGACGCTCCGGTTATAAGAAATTATTTTGTTCATTACAGTCATACAACTGTCGGATCTAGACTTCAGAGAGCATAAAGTTCCCCTCTGTTTCTCTTTCAGCGAGTGCATCAACTGCCCAGAAATGGAGCTTTTTTTCAGGTCGAAGCGCTTCCTTCTCGTTGGGTTTCTTCGGCTTGCAATTATCTTTCTTGTCATGAAAGGCTGCGCTTCTCAAAACCTCAGAGGTAAGATGACCTACAATGATTCTTGCTCCCTTAAAACGATTCCGGTTTTGAAACATTTTTCAGGTTAATTTCCTATTAATTCTTATATATATATTTATCCATTTCTCCTTTTAAGTCAGTGTATCTGATGTTCGAACTTTCGCACGGACATTAAAACAAAACAAAAAAAAATTGCCATAAACTTTGACCGATTGTATGCTTCTCAAAATTAGCGTGAAAAAAAAAAACCACGGTTTTTTTCAACAAGCAAGCTTATGTATTTTCAGGATAGTTTGAACTTGGAATCATTTGCTGTCAGCTTAAAGAGACGAAGGCAAAGCTATTTAATTCTATCTAGAATATTGGTAGTTTCTAATCTTTTCTACCTCAAAGATGCAATATGGAAAAAGACTTAATATTCCTAGGTTGTATTTTCTTATATGTCATTTTGACCTGATAGACTTGTAGAATTGATTTTAGATATTTTCGGAGATCTTCACATCTGCCAGAGTTATTGAAGATTTGAAATTTGTCCTCTTTTCACCGATTTACAGCAAGTCATTTTGAGATTAGTTAGCTTGTGCAGCTGTCTTCTTTTTCAATTTGAACTTTAAACACCCGGCCATCCCATCTAACATCTCTTAACTCAAAGCCACCGAGCGACGGAGACCCTAACACTCAATTAATCAGAATTAACCTTACACTGTACATAAATTTTCAGTCCTGGGTAAAAACTTCTGTCTTCAGTTTCCAGAGGTTCATTCGACCCTCCTCTTTTTCAGCCGGCTTTCGGGGCAACAAGCTATTATGTAAACAAGACATACCGACATTTACAAATCTAAGAGGAAATTAAAAAGCCAATTTGTCCAAAAGTGACTGATTGGGATGTGCTGTGTAGGTGTCGTTTTTTTTTGGACATGTAAAATCCAGAATTATTTTCTAAATCCAGAGTCTCTATTTTCATTCCAGGAAACTGTACCTTCGACGAGTATACATTTTGTAGCTGGTATAACGAAATATACACTGACCATTTTGATTGGTCTCTTTTTCAAGGAAGTTCTCCCAACAATCGAACAGGTATATAGATAAATCCTTTCATCTACTGTGATATATATATATTCTCCATTTTCGATTAATAGTGCGATGTGAATATAGAGAAATCTGCGCTTACGATCGGTCGAGAGCACCGGAACGCAAGTCATTTCTGCTAAATCTGTGATCAAACGAATACTTAATCTTAAGAAAACTACTATCAAAGTTAAAGTGATGTTTGAGTAATGATATTGAAAAACTCCATCGAAATCCCCTTTGAATTAGAATATTAGTATTTAATTGCCGATGGAATATACCATTGTTTTCCAAAGATAAAGAAGCATATATCTACATCGAAACGTCATCTCCACGTATGTACAGTGAAAAAGCCAGGCTGAACAGTCCCAGGAAGACAGGCCCTCAGAGGATGGAGTTTTTGTACTCCATGTACAGCAGTACTATCGAGACTCTGTCTGTTTATATCAAAATTAACGGCAGCGAATATAGGGTATGGAGTCGCTATGGAAGCCAGTTATCAAGCGACTGGATCAAAGGCTGTGTGACTTTAAACTACCAAGGAACTTATCAAGTAAAAACTTATTTTCTTTATCAGTTGTTTTGCGTGTGTTTGTTTGTTTGTTTGTGTTTGTAGCTCCCTTTTTTTGTGGTGGGTTCCTTAAGATAAGTTCTCTGTGTCACCTTAGTTGGCTGGCAAGTGCATTTTCGAATTGTAGAAAGTATATCGCTAAATATAGTGATTCAAGTTCTGATACAAAATACTTTTTTTTTCCTCGAAATAAAACTAATCGCCATTCTCGTCTTTCAAAATTTTCGATAAACTTGAGACCTCCTCTTTCCACAGTAATCTTCCCACTTTAATGAAACTATCAAGTAGCGTGGCAAAACTAGGCATTCAATTAGTGATTAATGTCACTATAACCAGGCATGTATGGAGACAGAAAATTTCCTCTAGAGAAATATAGCTTTGTTTTAATTATAGTACAGAAGACGAATTACATTTTGATTATTTGCATTTGCTCATCTATCTCAGGTTATAATTGAAGGAGTAGTAGGTGTATCGAATGCCTCAAACATTGCCGTTGATGACGTCAGCTTCAATAAAAACCAGAGTTGCGTTTCCGATGGTAAAACTACGCCTGAGGAAATGTTTGAAGGTAAAGGCCCAAGATATCGCATTAATAATGTCTGACATTTACCTAACCTGAGTGTCGAAAACAGTTATAAGTACTACAGGTTCTATTTTGCCTCCTTTGTGCAAAGAACGCAGTAATCCATCACAATCTGCAATGAGTAACTGATTTAACCAGCTGGGAGGCACTACAGCATATGTCTACCGCATGTCACTCTGTAATGGGCTTATGTGGGCACAAATTAACAGCATGAGAGTCTATCGCATAGAATAAACAAGTTAAAAAAACAAGTCTTAAGTTTATTCAGGACTGTTTAAACTATGCTTTGATTTTGTAACTCTAGTAAACTGCACCTTTAATGAAAGCTTTTGTGGGTGGCGTAGCTTGTGGCTGTCATCGGATCAGGTCAGCTGGAAAAGAGCGGGCAACAAAACTGGACAGAATGGAGATTTTGCTGGTAAGAAGAGCTTATCGGAACGAAGCTGTTTTCCATTGAATTCAAAGAGATTTTGGAGTTGAGTGGAGTTATTGAGTTAACAAATTCCCTCCCATTCAGTTTGTCCTCGAGATAATTTTGAAAAGTGCAGGTGAGCATCTTTTTTAATTGAGCGATATTATAACACTTTCTTGACATTATTTTACAATTTCACACAAAGGAAACTTCATTTATACTTCTCAACCTAACAAAGAAAATCAGTCCACCCATCTATTGAGTCCTCTTATGCTGGGACCAAAGTGTTTCCGCTTCTCATATCATATGTCTGGGCGGAATATTGAAAGACTTGATATCTTGCTTCAAGTCCGGAGCCAGCAAGGGGATCACTTGATATGGCAGAAAATTGGAGATCAGGGAAATAAGTGGATGCAAGGTAGCATTGGTATCGGCTACACCGGCGAATTTCAGGTAGAAAATAAAAAAGGGAGATGAAATTGTCAGAAAGATAGATTTAGTCCTACACAACTGCAGAAGTATCCTTTTCCTGCATCATTTTTAAGTTGTTATGGCACACGCGAAGTAATCGATAATTACTCCTTTTTCCAGTTCATTGCAGGTAAAAAACATTCCATGTATATGGCAGGCTTCACTCAGAACTTAATTAGTACCCATTTGTACCCATGGCTTACAGAAGCATTCTCAGAATTGTTCGTCATAGAAATAAATGAATCGGCTAGACCTCTTGCCATGGACAAAAATTTTCACCTATGATAAATTTAGTGCTAAACTAAATTGAACCCTCCTTATATGTTTGTTTTGACTGAAATAATGTCTGTTGTTACAGATTGTGCTGAAAGCAACTCCTAGCAAGAATTACACAAGCCGTATAGCTTTGGATAGCTTTATATTAACTGATGGACTGTGTGATGATGAGAGTGAACTTGACAGCAATCAACAAGGTTTTTCACTCGTATCTGTCATATACCATCATTACTGCCTGAACATCTGAACCAACTTTATTGTAGCTTCTGATATCTATGCGATGTACCAAATGTAGATCACTGTTTTAAGGCCTTCTTCCTACTTGTAATCTGACCGTTACTTTTCTAGGTATATTTCAGCAAATTTTTCTCGTTAAACCGCAAGTACTTTTTTTTCTTCCAGACAACGCTCTCAACATTGTTTATATCTTTATGCTGCAGGAAACTGTAACTTTGACGAGAACTTTTGCCTTTGGAAGAATGATTTAAATTTCATTTTCAAGTGGACTCCTCGGGGAGACAGAGCACCCAAGTATCAGACAGGACCCAGTGGTGATCATACTTCAGGTACGATCGATTTAATAACTTTCCTTTTGGTCAGTTGAAGAATTAAGCAATCTTTAGTTATCGATTAGTTGTATTTTGTTTTGCGAAGCCAGCGTGGTATACATTAAGTTTTTCGCTTTTTTTACCAAAATACACAATGGATAGAACGTGTTATAATTTTCATCAAATTGACTTCTCCCTTCTATCATAAGAGGAACTGATTAAAAGTGTAGTTTTTAATCGTAACCTTTTTAAATTATGAAAGAAGATGGTTTAGGTTGACAAAAGAGGAATCAAATGAGGAAATATCAGATTAATAAAAGGGGGAAAGTTATTTGAGAGAGGATGTCAGCATCCATCGAACAAATTTGAAATATTGTGGCAAGTCGCCCAAAATCCGTTTTCATCTCTACTTTTATAATTTGTAGCCCAATATGTTCTAACAAGTGTGGTGTAGTTTTTGTGTGAAAATATATTTTAGTTTTCGAGAAATGACTTTTTTCGTTCTACCGCTCAAATATGCAAATTTTCACCGTGAATATTACCCGAGTTGTGTGACCTCATGTAACGACTTTGTTTTATCATCTAAACTTAATCCCCTGTCATTATTGAAGGTGGCAAAGAAATACTTATTTTTTGGTGAATATTTTTGTCCGACATACTTTTCCTATGTTGAAAAGTAGCATTAACATAAAGACAGTTGTAACAATAACCGATATGACAGAATCTACTGAGCTTCAAGCCTTCAAAAGACAAAAGGATGGTTATAAAGTTACTGAAAAAATTTCCTTGTGTATTTGTGTTGTTCTACCTTGAGACGAACTCAAAGTCTGGCAAAATTTACTTGCTAGCGACTATGAAATATACATGGTGTGCCTACTTGTCGCCACCGTTAACTGGCATAAATCACTACAATTTGCAAAAAAATCTAACATAGCACTCTTACCTTGTTTATTTATGATTTCATTAGCCTTTTCGAAAAACTATATTACGCCTGGGTATTACTTTTTGACTGGAACCCAGGTTTTGCGTTGTCTTCCCCTCCCCCATTTATATCATAAGCTAGTCACGCAATAATTGATACCGACGCAAATGAATATTTACCATGTATAAATATTTTTGTTTATGTTGAACTGAAAACATCAGAATAAGTGCTTTTTTTGGTCACTAATCTTTGTTTCAGCGGCAGCGAAGCAGTTAAACGCGGGTTGTTGCTTCAACGCTATTGAAATATATAGTATACAGACAGGCGAACAAAGCGTATTGCTCTGGGAATAAAAACTTTTAGGGGCCTTTTACATGATTTCCGAATGAGTTTTGTTCGAGTACGAGTTCATAGCGGTTGCCACATGATACCAGATATCGGATACGATCGGAAATGGGTGAGGATGCTTGTGTCATACCTTTTAAGAGTCAAAATCAGCGACCTGGTACCTTTTACGACGTCTCAAACTTTAGTGGACTACCAAAGACCTGGCTGGTACGTTTATGGTGTTTTTCGCTTAATAAATCAACTATCTGAATTAAGCATTACTAGGAAGATTTTAATGATCTGACTCAAGCTCATCGATAAAAGAGTTTTGCTCACGGTGGTAAGTAGCCTGCTTACCGAAGCCAGATTGTACGAATTTTCCAGACATCTTGAGTTCTATCTGTGATACACGCTTACTGATTCCCCTATTGGCTTTTGGAATCGACTTAACCCTACCCCACATCTACTAGTAGAACCACGACTCCACTCAACACCGAGATTTGATCTATGAGAGGCGAAATTTGTAAAATCATCCATATCTTTTGGCGTTTAGAAGATGCCGGCACGCGAAAAAATAAGATCAACTTCATTTTCTGGATCTGAAAACTTGCAACTCCGCAAGTGACCTGATATGTCTTTTTCAATAATCAGGCAAGGGAACGACTTGAGGTATACAACTTCGGTCTTCTCGATAACTAAACCCACAAGTTCCACCAGCGAACGATTAAACTGAACAACAAATTTCCATGTTTGCATGTAAAACAAGACGCTTATAAAACAGATCGTTAGCTAAATCAGTTTGTAGCTTGTCAATCAAATTGACTATTGTAACCATACTTTAACTTCAGCCGGAAAAGGAATCATCGGTGGATCTGGACATTTTAGTTTTCTGAATGCTGTAGTTCCTGAAAGGTTTTTCTAGATGTCTTGCAAAGAGGAAAAAAAATCTATCTCTTGGTATTTCTGAGGTTGATTCATCTTTAAATTTCTGTGTCACGCTTGTCATGCAACTGATATAATAAAATAGAGAAGATATATAAACTGGAACTCAAATCTGACTAGAATGTGGTAGAGCATAATTAATGTGGTCATCGAAACACCTAATAAAATCATAAATAAAAATGGTAAGAGTGCTATGTTAGATTTTTTTGCAAATTGTAGTGATTTATGCCAGTTAACGGTGGCGACAAGTAGGCACACCGTGTATATTTCATAGTCGCTTGCAAGTAAATTTTACCGGACTTTGAGTTCGTCTCAAGATAGAACAACACAAATACAAAAGGAAATTTTTACAGTAACTTCATAACCATCCTTTCGTCTTTTAAAAGCTTGAAGCTCAGTAGATTCTGTCATATCGGTCATTGTTAACTGTCTTTGTTTTCATGCTACTTTTAGACATAGGAAAAGTATGCCGGACAAAAATATTCGCCAAAAAATAAATATTTCTTTGCCAGCTCAAATATTGACAGGGGGTTAAGTTTAGAAGATAAAACAAAGGATTATGTTGAGAGAAATACCGTAGGTCAATTATGTTCGTTACATGAGGTCACACAACTCGGGGTCGAACGAAAAATGTCATTTCTCGAAACTGAAAATAAATTTTTCCAAAAAAACTACACCACAATTATTAGAACATATTGGGCTAAAAAATATAAAAGTAGGGGTGAAAGCAAATTTTGGGTGACTTGCCTCTGTTTGTCTGATGCATGCTGACATTAGCTCTTAAGAATTGTCCAGGCACACCATTTGCCTTCTTCGCTTCGATTTTGATGTTCGGACTCATTTTGCATCATGATTTTATCATGATAGTACAACTGACCACTTGAAAAAGGGTGACCACTTAATAAGGTGCTGCTTAATACAGGCTCGACTGTTCACTTTCCATTTATTAAGGCACTGGCTTGTACATATATATTGATGCCTCAAGTCCTCGCCAGCCTGGAGACACCGCGAGGTTGACAAGTCCATGGATGCGGGGTCCACAATGTATGACATTCTTCTACCATATGTTTGGTTCAAGCATGGGTTGTGTTGTTATGTATATTAGAATCCAGGCTGCAGAGAAGTTACAACCAATATGGTTGCGGTCGAAGGATCAAGGAGACCGTTGGACACAAGGGAAACTAAATATTAACACCAACTTAACGTATCAGGTAACACGAATGTCTCGACATTTGATTCAAGCTCTCTGTTCTGTTGTCCTTTCCGATATCGCGTTAGGCCAACCATAACAAAGTGGCAGGTTCATGAACCTAATCCACATATTATTGGAATAAAGAAGCAGCTGTGATGTAAAATTCAGGTTGCCTAAGGGAGTAAGTGAGGCTGAGCACACTACAACCCAGCAGCTCATATTCAAAACTGATTCTTTTATTTGCAACGTATCGTAACGTCAGTCTCTATTTTGTCCCTTGCTCTTAAAGATAATCATTGACGGCATCAGAGGAGGTGGTGATTCAGGGGATGCAGCTTTGGACGACTTCACCTTTCAGAAAGGACCTTGCTGGCAAACAGGTACAAAAGAGAAATTGTTTTGAAGTCATTTACGCTGGTGTTAGTTACGCTCGGTTTCCTCCTTTATGTGTGATTTTTTCCCTGAAAATATACATTTATGTGTCATTATCAGATGGTGTGTTACACAAGCTGAGTTATTACTAGAATTTTTTAACAAAAAGGTGAATAAAACGACGTTTCTAAGATACCCTTACTCGGATCGGGATCTCCTGTTACAATCTATAGAGAGAGTATCTTTGATGACAAACCTTTATCACATTATGATTTTCATCAGGCTGTTAACCTATTTCAAAAATGGTGACTTTATTGTCATTCTTGATACGAACTTTAAAGGATATTTGACCATTCATAAGGAATAATAATAACGCCCATCAAAATTAAAGAGGCTCAAGGTGATTACTCTGCCAAAGTCAGATAAGTATGAATGGTTGAACTACAAACCTCTGCGATGATAATCATGCTACCTATCTAATCATGTGTTTTGCTTTTATCTTCCATTTAAGATGAGATCACCTATTACGTTTCTTCGTATATGGGTAAAGATTATAAAATATCCTCTCGACCTCCTGAACACAGTCTCTACGCCGAAGAATTCCGTTTTACTCTCAAACATCCTGAAGGACTTCCAACAGAAACCTCGTATTTTATCTACTCTGAAGCATCCAAGAGACACAGTTTTGTTAGGGAAAAACTAGATTTGTCTGACTATGATAACTATCCCTTGGATGTGGCTGTCCTTGATGACAACAGACCGTCTCCAAATTGTAGCAAGATTTATTTTATCAACAGGGATAACATGGGACCAATGATCAGCCTGGACGACCACAGTGCCCTGCATTGTTGCAAAGGAAATATGAAATTCACTCTTTGTGCTTTCAATGTAACTGAACCAGGTAGGAAAACTAGCCGCGCGTTATTCTTTGTGAATGCTTGCCTAGGTAATAAATTAAGCTTAAGCATAAACCTATTTCAGTTCATCAGCGTGAGATCCCAAGTTGTTCCTTAAGTTTGTTTTTTATGAAACTTGAAATAATTTGTGGGATAAGAATCGATATTAGGGGCAGTTCCGAAAAACGTCCGATAACTAAATGAATATTTGGCCGAGGAGAGAAGCCTGGAAAGAAAAGTTTGAGGAATATCTCACAGCCACGGTTGCCATATCAGCAATGCAGAAAGAGGTCCATCTAATTTATAACCCTCCTGAAATTGTACAAAAGACATTAGTAAAAAGGTCAGTGTTGAGCGGATTGTCGATGCGTATTTGCGACCAGGTTTCTAATATCACTATCACTAGACTCTACAAAACGTAACTGCTCTTCTCCTGTTTAGAGTAGTACAGATGAAAAGAAGAAACTTTTGAGCTGAATTGTTTCTTCTTTTCGACGTAAATAATCGGAAGTCAACGCAAACGGCGGTTATTGCGCGATAACTGTCCGGTGATTTTGCACCACGTGACGTAACATGGCTAATAAAATTGCACGAAATTAATGGTGAGTGATAACGGTTGACATCTCAAATTAAGACTTTCTAACCTAATTCCGTATTGCTAATTTATCTGTCAATTAAGAAAAAAAATTACATTTTGGATTTGCTCGCGTTAAAGCCTTGTAATCTAATTGGAAAACAGTTTCGACCCATTGATGTTACCATCGTGTTAACAAAAAGCACCGGTGGCTGGTAAGATAGATAAAGTTATATTACAGTTGCTAGGGTTTTATCGAGCTTTAAAAAGGTTTTGTTCGATTTGCAGATAATCGTTTGACTTCTGGATGTCAGCCCGGTTGGTACGGAGTAGGAAAATCTTGTTTCATGTTTTATTTTGAATCAGCTCGGGAATGGCGCTTGGCGCGATCTTTGTGCCACAAACAAAATAGCGAAATGGCCACTGCCAAAAGTATTGATGTACTGGAAGCCCTTGCCAATCAGAGGAAACACCTAAAATTCGAAGACTTCGATCTTTTTCTTGGGCTAAAGAGTAAGTTACGCTGGACGTGGGTAGACGGCGAAAAGCTGTCAAACGCACGCAAAGGTTTGTGGAAGCCTACCGAACCGAGTGGCGATGGCAAGTGTGGATCTCTTCTGAGTTTTGTTAGTTGGGATTCAACTTGGCGTGGGGATGGATGGGGCTTAAATGACGAGCCTTGCACCGGTACTGGGAGATATATTTGTGAAGAGCCACTAGGTAACTTTTTTAACAATATATGATAACATCTTCTAATCAATATATATATTTTAATGGCATCTGAATTGGAGATATTTCAGAGACAAAAATGGCCTTACAAATTAACCCTTCAACATAAACCCACTAAGTTGCCTTTTCGCTTTTCTTTAAAGCTTTAAATGGAATCGGTTCTGTTTTTAAATGAAGTTGTTATGTTGACTGGTGTAAGCTTTGTTCAGACATTGTCCCACGACAGATTCAATTTATAAACTCAAGTGGTTACTCTGTGGTTGATCTCGTTTCAGATGTGTTTAAATGCTCAAAAACATTACTTCGTTTATCGCATTATTCAGAATGTGTCCGAATAATTTATGTTTTTACTTCTGGTTCAAGATGTTCCTCTCCCTGTGGCTCTCTTCTTCGTGGGTGGCATTAACAAAACTGTGAACTTGAGCCCTAATGGAACCAGTATGGCTGTGTTCAGTGACATCACCTTTGCACCGGGTCCTTTCGGAAATCCAGATGGCTCCTTGCTTTTAGGAACTAGCAATAGCCATGCAGAATTAAAAAATCGCGGAGAAATCGATACGAGGTTTTCTATAAGTGTATTCGCTTGGGTGCATCTTAGTAATTCTAGCACTGGTCTAATAATAGATCACGGTTGCTCGGTGACGGTCTTCCACTCAACGCTCGGAGTTGAAGTACTTTTTAAGGAACGGGACAGCTCTAAGAGTTATCTCCTGCATAAGAAGGGCGTTCTAAAAGCAAACTCTTGGAATTTCATCGGTGCTACGTATGACTACTTCAGCGGCGTGGCAACTATTTGGGTCAACGAGAGCATCGTCATGCGGGAATTTATTTCAGCTAAAATGGAGTTAGCGACTCATGGGAATGTTATTGTTGGGGCCTCCAAAAATCGAAAAATGCAATACCGTGGCAGGATTTCTTGCTTGCAGTTTTATGATCAAGCATTATCTGTGGATCAAATCATGAAAGTGAAAGTACGATGTAATAAAACTGGTAAGTGGGTTTAATTTACTTGTCAGTCGTAATGTCCACAGAGCTGTACAAAACCCTGTTAAAATCGAAAAGCGTAGCTTCGTAAGATACTCCATAGAAACAAATGAGATGTCGATAACGCATCTCGCTCACAACATTGCTAGACTTCACCTTATAACTCTTTAGCCGTTAACTATTATAAGGTTCAACCGTAAGTTTTGTTTTGATAATTCCATTTTTTCTTTGAACGTATGGAAGTATCTACACCTTCAATGGAATATGCAAGTGTCGGATGCTACGCAGACAAGCCTCATCGAGCAATTCCAACACTTGAAGGAAGAGACCCCATCGCTGTCGAGAACTACGACGTGCGTACGAGAGCGATTGAAAAGTGCGCCCTTGCAGCTCGAAGAAAAGGATTCACCATGTTTGCTGTTCAATATGGTGGGCAGTGCATGACCAGCGCAACGGCAGAAAAAACTTTCAATATATATGGTGAGAGTAATAGATGCAATACAAATGGAAAGGGAGGATCATGGGCAAACAATGTTTACATCATTCGAGGTTTGTTAATCGATGTAATGATAATATATTTTACATTGAATTGTAGACAATGAAGTAGCCGAAAAATTCCATCAGTTTGCTTTAGTAATGTACAATTTAAGGGCTGGAACGCACACTTTAAGTGGCTTAAAATTTGTGAGCCGTAATAGACGGGAGTTATTAGTTTTAGGAAATAAATGTCCTGAAATAATTACGGAATTTATGGCTCATCAAATTTATTTCAAAAGTACGATCCAGCCTCAACAGAAATTGTTATTTTTCTTTTGTTTTGTTTTTATGTTTCTCGATTATGCAGCTCGATTTTTGCCCTGTGATCGATTACTAGTCAGTTGTGGCTCATATTTGCCATAGAGTGCACGTTAAGAAATGCCTCATTTTTTATGGTTTTCCATAATAATTGAATTTCTTACAATTTAAATAGATTATATTGATATTGGATGCTACGAAGATCGCCGCTCGCGTGCAATTGCATCACTCGAACAGAAAGATCCGCTATTGACAGGATACCACAAAATACGCAAGAACTCTATCGAAAAATGCGCCGTAGTTGCTCGCAAAAGGGGCTTCCGCATGTTTTCAGTTCAGTATGGTGGGGAGTGTTACGGCAGTGCAACAGCAGAGAAGACTTTTGATAAATATGGTAAGAGCGATAGATGCGAAGGTGACGGAAAAGGAGGAACTTGGGCGAATCGTGTCTACGCCTTTCAAGGTTTGTGACCGAATTTATTTACTTATTTTCATTTAATTCCTTAGTTAAGACATAATCAGGTAGTTTGACCTTTTATGTCAAGACTTGTATTACTTAATGACTGGTTCCCTCTTTGACGCTTACATCTTCGCTGGGATCTCTTCATCTTTTTGTATGAGGGTTAAGATGTTATTGAATGATAACAGTACAATGACTTCATTCTTAGTTTATCAACTCTAGGTTTCCATTCATATTTAAATTAACAAAAGAGGCAAAGCAAAGAAACAAAATTATTCAGACAATTTTTTTTTTCTCGTAGCGTCTACTTCTTGGTGCAGTCCCATATTTTTTCCATTTCATGGAGGTTGCTTTTCCTTAGATACCTACAGCAAAGTAAACTGGAAGCAAGCCCTGAATATTTGCAATTTTAAAGGAGGTACCCTGGCAAAGATTTCAGGGGAAGGGTTAAGACGTGCTTTTTCTGTTGTGTTAGAGGGAATTCGATCCTACCGACCGGGTGTTACTAAGTATTTCATTGGTATGAGGGGCCGACATGATGACTGGACGTGGTTTGATGGCACTTCTCTGAACGAATCGTTGTGGGTGTCAGGACATCCAACGAGGGACGTTGACAATCTAGGCTGTGCTTATCTTTCGGCTGGTTTATCCAGAATAAAGAATGGTGCTTGCAAGTCACACAGATACCCTTTGTGCCAGAAACGATCGGGTAAATTGTAATAAGTTCAGCGGTTATATGCAAGAGAGGGGCGTTCTCTTGTAAAGCACTTCTTAAAAAGTAAGCTCGTGGGCTTGAGTCTAAAACCTTCTGAGAAACACGAAAGAAACAAATTGTCAAAACCACAAAGGGAAAATAAAAGGAAAATCCATTTTTAACACTTTCATTTGGCATATTTATATTTCTTTTTCAGACAATAACATTAGGGTCTTCAAAGGTTTTAGACCTAAAGCTGAACGCTTGAGATCTAAGAAATGTTTAAGATGGAGAATGCCTTTTTATCATGTCAAGATAATGTTCAACCATGTTTGACTTCTATTCAAATGGATGCTGTTTGCTTTACTTTTACGTCACATTACTTTATTTCTGTCTCGTGCAGACTCTCAGCTTTGAAAGGCTTTAAACTATAAGCTGTAAGCTTTCCTTGTAACACATTTTATCAATAGAGAACGGCTTTTTAAACCATTTTCCTCTCCTATTTGAATAGTTACAATTAAATTTAAATAGTTACTGTTTTATTATTTCTCAGAGTAAGTTGTATCTTTTTTTTGTTTTGGTCTCCTCTTTCGATGCATTCTATTTTCCTCGCTACAAGTGCTCCTCTCCTTTTCCCCTCTTCTACCAATTTCAAGCTTTCCAAAAGTGTCAAGGTATTTCAAACATGTTTTCCACCGTAATGGTAGTCAATTAAATTATTATTCGTGGCTTGATACATTAATTATTTCTATTTACAAAGTTTTTTACTCCGCCTAAGCTAAATATGATTAAAACATCTTCCAAACTGTGGTGTCGATGCTCTTTAATTTTTCCTTGTCCTACAGAAGCTTCTTTATCAAACCGGAGTCAAACCACTTGTTCCAGTGTTTTGCTGCCGTATGAGTCCTCTCTAGCCATTGATAAATCTTACACCACCTGCTTTCGTTCGGGAAGGGTAAGAAATTGTCATAAAAAAGGGAAGAATCCACTGTAAATGCACTGGATATCCTTTCACATAATTATAGGCCAGACATTCATTGTGTATATAACGATTGGGTCAAGTAATTGTGATACTTATTTCAGTGTCTTGCTGTTTGGTATGTTGCTTGCTTGCTTTCTGTAAAGTTCTAACATAACACTTTTTCTCATTTTTTCATGTATTTAGGAGTCGAACCCTTGGTGGCAAGTTAACCTTGATAAACATTTGTACGTAATCTCTGTGGTAATCATTGATAAAGTTGATTGTTGCCCACGGGATAGCGGAATTATCAACGTCAGAGTATTAAACGGTCCACAGGGCACAGACTCAACCTGCTCCAAATCGATGGAATATGATGGAGTAAACCAACAATTTAAATTTTACTGCTCACCACCAGCGCTAGGAAATTACCTGAAGATAACGTTGAAGGGCAATAATGTCACTCTAGTCCTGTGCCAAGTTATCGTACAAACTATTGGTAAGTTTCCGGTAGTTTCCTTTCAATATAAAAGTTCCCTCTTGGAGCTTTTAAAGTACTTGGAGCCTTCCATGGGGTCATATAACTAAGGCCGCGTATTCGAAGCCTTTGAGAAACCATTTTCTCCGCTACAATTATAGATTCGATGTGTTTGGGCCAAGAAATTCATGCTCATTTTCAGATTGCATAAACTACAGCTTTGACAAACTCTTAACCCATCCTTCAGGAAATCTTATGAGCAAAGGAAGAAAATCTCATGATTTTTTTTAGTTCTATACCCTTGCGCGGTCTTATATGCCCCCCTCCCCCCCTCCCCTCTTACCCGAAGTAGCAGTAAACTCTTTGCAATGTGTCTATCGACAATAGAGTCGCTTACAGAGGCAATGGGAGTGCTTCGTGAGACATGGTATAGAATGAAGAATGACGGTGCCAGGAGTAAATCAATCCTGCGCGAACACCCATTCATTCAAGGTCCGCCAGGAAGCCGAATAGTTTTGCCAGATTTTGATGCTCCTATCGATTTGGAAGACGGATACGCGCAAAGATTGACAGCTTATTTGCAGGTAAACGTGAAATATCCCTGTTTAAAGCGGAGTTCTTTCTGTTCATTTAAACTTTTCTTGTTTCTTTTTGTTTGTTTTTTTTTTGAGAAAATGAAAAATTATTCATTATTCGTTAGTCTCAGTCAGTCTGTTTTTATTTTCTAAGACAAACTTTAATCACCTACTCACCATTTTTAGGTTCCTCAGAGCGGTAGCTACGTCTTTTACGCTGCGTGCGACGATTCATGCGAGTTGTGGAAGTATAATGTCATAGAATATGGATTTGTGAAAGATAACACCGAATCAGACGAGAGTGCACAGAACCGAAGTCCAATCATATCTGTTAACAAAGTCACTAGATATCTTCAGTGGGACAGGTAAGCAATTTATAAAGGATAAAAAGGCCAATTTTCCTGAAATTTAAGACTACCAGAGTTATGCTTAAATTTTGGTGACCTGTCGTTTGAAGGTACGAAGAGCAGTCATCGCAGCCTATCATCCTTGAAAAATGTCGTATTTATCGTATGGAGATGTATGGAAGAGATTTAAGCGGAAACGATCATATATCAGTGGGCATGCGTAGGCCGAATGGAGATTTTGAAAGGCCGATTCTTAGGAAAAGACTATTTTGGACAAAACCAGGTATTTCAGTTTGGTTTTGTTTTGTTTGTATTTTGGTTTTGTTTTGTTTGTATTTTGGTTTTGTTTTGTTTGTATTTTGGTTTTGTTTTGTTTGTTTTCCTTTAAATTGTGTTTTGTATCTTATTTTGTTTTCAATTATCTATTTTGTTTTTCACTTTTTTAATTTTTGTATTATTGTTGAGTTTTTATTTGTTTCGTCTCTTTTCTTATCGAAGTGGCTTCGGAACGTAGTCACCTTTTTCAAAAGATAACTTATGCTAAAAAGAATAGGAGAAGGATAACGCAGACAACTAGGAAAAAGCTAGAAACTTAAAAAGCTCGTTTACAAGTGAACGGTTAACAGCAGGGAAAGAAAGTCGAGATACAAGAGGACTTGCTGTAGTCGGCGTATGCGCCTTACTCTTTTTCCTGAGATGACTGATTTCATGAACTTCATTTCTTTAACTTAGAGTACTTACTGAATCCAAACCGTGGGTTAAATTTTAAAAAATAGTGGATCAACGCTAGCTAGAATTATTCAAGGAACAGCTTAAATTCTTGGATCTTAAACAGGGACACGAAAATTGGTGGTGAGACTCAACGATCTTGAAACATCGGTAGCTGCTATCGTTGGGTCAAATATACGCATGTCAGGTTGGTTCTTTCATAAGTTTAACAATGCATAAATAACGCGTCAAGCTTTCTCGTTTCATTCGACAGGGAATTGGTGTGAAATATCAATCGAAGGCTTAAATCGTCAAATGTCAATTTTTTTTAACCAAATGTCAATTTTTTTAACAGGTACCTACCGCTTCTGTTGTCAGGGCATATATTGCCCTGATTGTCCACTGCAACTGAACCTCTCAACCCTGAGACAAAACGTAACAATAAACCCAGCGGTAAACATGTCTTGTTTAAATACATCATTCGAGACTTTCTTTGACACATACAGAGAGCCGGGAAATTATACAGTGAAGGTTAGTTCATTTTAGCGTTTCCTGAGAGATATTATATGATACGATTACGGACAACTTCCTCTTGCTTTTATAAAACTAATGCACCAAGAACTAAAACGAACACTTGATAACCTTAGAATCCAGTTTCTTCTTCTCTTTGAGTTATTCACTTTTTAACTTTTCTCTAACATATACCTAAGAGAAAGTTCGCAACCTTGAAACAATTGTTCAAAATGTTCATAATGTGAGACTCAAATTTCCCACCAGATCAGCTATTCATTTCTGGACCATTCAGGGCAAATTCTTGAAGAGAGAGTGCTGGGAAATATTTATCTTAAAGGTAAGTCGTTTAACGAGTTTGAAGATTTATTTTTCTTCTTCTCTCTTATATCAATTAAGCATTAAATATACGGATCAGTTTATAAGATTCAGAAGACTTCACAATAAATACGAACTGAATTCAAACTGCGAAAGTTTGGTGCACAACGATTATGCATTGACTTTCTTTTTTCGAACAAGATTAAATTTGAGCAAATCTAAGCGATCAATCAACCAAATGTATGGGTTGTTAATCAGCTTGCTGGGCCGTGAAGTTAGAATGGGGATAACTTAGAATATTATTGAGATTTCCTTTCAAAAACCGGGAACTGCAAAAAAAGTCTTACATGTACGAGGCAAAATTACTTTCATGAAAACCATATGTTTCTTGTATTTCTCCTCCAATTCTTGTCTCCCTTTTGGGTTAACATCCCTACAAGAAAACGCAATTTGGCAAACGATTATGACGATTGCTTAAACGATGATTTGAACTCTCACAGCTGTTGCAGTATTAAAAGTATGCCATTTCGAGTCTGGAAATTGTGCAGGCTGGACTAACCTTGGAAGCAAGGAGAAGTGGAAGTTCTCCCAAGGTAAGAAGAGGGATGTTTCTGCCTGCCTAACTGTTGTATAGAAAATGTACGTTGTAGAGTTCTCTGCGTCATAATCTTTTTTTAAACTGTCCTAGTCAATCTCCATGCTTATAGAAATGATCGACTTAAAGTAGCCTGGTCCTCTTCTATACAAATGTATTATCATTGTCAAAATATTATGTGTCCTAGGTCATTTTGCCTACATCGGGAGATCTTCCAGGGTACGGCTTAGGACTCCTTTGTTGTCATGGAAACCAACCAATGAGATGGTGGGCGTATGTTTACGGTTTAAATATCTCATGCCAACCAAATCAAACTCGTATTTGAAAGTTCTGCTTTGGGAAACAATAGAAAAAAGGGAGGTGCTAGTTTGGCAGCTGCTTGGATACCACGGACAAGGATGGTCAGTGGCTCAGGTGGTTTTGCCAAGCTCTGTGGCTGTTCAGGTAAGTGAAGCTTCTTTTTCGTTTGAGTGAAGTCTCTTTCTACTTGCTTATATCTATGCATGTGACAGCCTTGAAACATTGTGTTTAGTGGTCGATAACATCATATTCTGTCCCTTTCTATTTGTTATTGTTTTGTGACAGGTTATGTTTGAGGGAGGGGGCTTTGCTGATGACCTAGTAAATGTGGCGATTGATGACGTCAGCGTAAAGACTGAGAACTGTGTCTTACTACCTTACTATGCAAAGCCAGGTTACTTCTACTTTCTTTTCTTTCTCTCTTTTCATCCTTACAGTTGACAAATAGAGAAGCCTTGACTGTGCTCTCTTCTGTTGTAAAGCACGCAGGGAGCGGCTAAAGCACGAGAGAAGTGTAGGTAGTGCAGGTAGAAACATGAGACGTAATGGAGTGTTTCTCCCCACTTCTTGCTCTAGACACCTCCTGAGTGCTTTACAACAGAAAATAGCACAGTCAAACCTTCTTTTATTATATAGAATCCGTAAATTCCCCACGCATTGCTTTCAATTTTCAAAACAAACTTTTTTCCAAAGTGAACAACAATGTCGTTAGCATGCTCCACACTCTCAAAAAAGCACGCTACAATAACCCAATCAGAATCCTTGTTAGATTGTTTTAAATAATCTGATTGGTTGAACAAGACTAAAAAATGTCCAATTATCAAAGTTCACAAACCATCAGAGTTCACAATCTGCGGTAGTTTAAAAACTTAGTGTCGCTCTCGCTCTCTTTTATTTTTTGCCCTAGAAAAGGGTTAAGGACACATGTTTCGAAAATATTTAGTTGTTCTCCAATTCTCTTTTTTTGCGTCGCCACAAGCCAAAAATGATTTTTGGCCAGACCACCCCTGTAGACAGCGATCGAAAGTGTAAATTTCACAGATTTTGTCCAGCGCGCAGCGACTGCAATGACATAGCTCACGGAATTCTATCTTGCTACAAGTTACAAGATGTATTCAGTTAGTTCACAGACAAAATATGGAAACTTGGTAAGTCACGCAAGCGGACAAGCGTTACGACCGATCACATTTACGCAATATTTTAGGACAACTCGGCACCTATTCTTATTCAGTTGTTATGAAAACCTAAAATCCACAACGTAGAAGATAAACGCACGAAGTTTGAATGGTCAAAAGGAGATCTTGGTCAATTTTCAGAACTATGCAAATGATCTTTGACATGAGCGCAATTGAGCAAACACATTGACTTGCGTTGTTTTTGAGATGTTGGTGGATGAAAGCTAAAGATATACGCGCGGGTTTGAGGCAATCTGTGACCTCATTGGTGTATAAACTATGGACCGGTATGTTTTTTCAGCCCGATTAACACCTGCATTTTGAGAATTCTTTAGTACAAATTAGTGAATTTTTGATATGCAAATTAAGGTCGAGGAGAAGGGTCTCCGCTGATCACGCTGGTATGAACTAACTGAGTACATCTTTTAGCTTGTAGCAAGGTAGAAGTCCGTGAGCTCTATTATTGTAGTCGCTGCGCTCTGGACAAAATCTTTAAAATTCTGGGGGGGTCTGGCCAAAAATCATTTGGCAACGCGAAAAAAGAGAATAAAAAGAGAATTGGAGAACAACTAAACTATTATTGAAACATGCTTCTTAAACCCTTTTTCATGGGCAAAAAATTAGAGAAAACTTTTTTTCCGACAGGAGCTCGATAGGACTGCTCTTAGCGAGAGTGGCACTTAATAAAGAATCTGAAAGTGAAATGTTCAGTGAAATCCAGCCGAATTGGAGCTTATAAAAACACGCGATTTTCACATGCCGATTAGAAAACAACTGCTCAAGGCGTATTTTTTTATGAATGCACGACAACCGAATTCAGAGGATTATAGAGGTTAACAGCGCCGTAAAACTCGGCTTCTGAGACTGTGCCCATCCTCTAAACGCATCGGAAAGGATATATTACCTAGCTCTTCGTTTAATTCAGAAGGCGGCTGATGTAATTTCTGAGGCTTGCGTCACACTGCGATGACCGGAAACCACGATGATGAGCTAGACGCGATAGACCTCAGCATGATCGTCATGATTATCATGAATTTTAACAGTTATGCCAGTTTGGCTATACTTTTCATCGTTACTTTTTTAGATTCATTCTGCTTTGTTCTTTTGTTCTTTCCTTTTTTTACACGAAACTATATATACGAGACAAATGTTAGCTGTATTTCATTTTTATTACCGTAAGTAAGCTAAGTGTAAAAACCTTTAAAACTTGGACTGCTCATTTCGTTTTCTCTTTGAGGATATTCTTCTCTGCTCAAGTTATTATAACGTCAATTACGGCGTTAGACATGTTTAAAAACTTTTTTTAGTTCTTCTGTTATTATTTGCCGACTCGCTTGTTCCGAAATTTCACTTTTAATAAACGCAAAAAAGCTAGAGAGAAGTCCGGGAAATGGTAAGACATAGAACTATTTGGCAGTTGACGTGACAGCTTTAGCTATCTTGCTAGGTGTTCTATACTCTCATAGAGTTCGCTGTTTCAACCAATGACAGCGCGCGTTATATGCGAACTTTATAAGGAACTTAAAGATCATTTGGATCTTCCAAAATCCTCACCACTTACGCTTGAGGCGCACATTTGGTTTGCCAATAGTCCACTGCCACTGGTTGGCTGGTTATGACAATTGCAACCAAACCTTTTCTTTTTTTTCAACTCACCAGCCTGGGGGATTGTCAAACTCATAACGATGTGCTGATTGTCAAATTCTCTCATAGAAGTATGACAAAGTTTCCCTCGTTAGTTCCTTCTCTTCACGGCCTTTCACTTATAAAGAAAGAAAATGAAACAGAAAGCTGATTTTGCTGAGTTTTTCAGGTTTTCAATGTGGCGAAAAACAGTTTCAATGTAACAATGGGGAATGTGTCAAAAGCGATTTAAGATGCGATGGTGACCTCGCATGTAAAGATCAATCGGACGAGGAGAACTGTGGCTGCCCCTCCAATAAGTTTGATTGCCAGGATGGAAAATGTATTCCTGCGGAAGCTGTGTGCGACGGTAACAACGATTGCTCAGACGGAGATGATGAAAATAATTGTCGTAAGTTCATGATTGCATCATGCTAAGAACACCACCTTAGTTTTCTCTTAACTTTTATGGTAATTGTTCTAAAGAGTGGTTTTTTCTGATCCGTTTTGTTAAGTCAGTCGTTAAGCCTGGTCAGCGATGATAAAACAATTCTATTTCCTTGCTATGTTTCTGTGCGGTAATCATATTCGCACGACTCAATTAAAGATTTGCTTTTCAGGTAGTCCATGTCCCCTCAAATATCATTGTCTTGATGGATCATGCATTTCCTGGTCTAATACCTGCAAGGAGATACCGTTCTGTGGGGACGGGACTAACACACCATCTGTATGTGGTAAGTAGGACACAACAGCCCATACCTAATTCTAATTCAATGTAATTCGTGTTAATTCACAAAAATTTTCGACCATGCCTTTTCGTGACCTAAAACTCTTGAAACCGATCATTATGTAATCTTAAAATATCTTGGTATACTTTAGAAATTGCAGTTTAAGGGAAAGCGAGAAAGCTTCGATCTTGCCTTCCCCTTGATATTTCTGTATTTCAGGGTCTGGGGATTGCCTTCTCAGTGATTTATCGTGCTCATCGGACACGTCGAAAGAACTCTTGAAGTGTAAATCGTCTTTCAGAGGTAACATACACGTCAAATTACTGAGATGCTGCTATACCTTAAAAGACCACTTTTTTTTCGGTTAATTCTCTTTTTCTTCATCCTCTCGTTGCTTTTATGTTTACGATACGGAGACAGAGCGTCTGGTTCATTTGGGTACTGATTTAATAGGCTTGTTTGATAAAAGACAGGGTTCAGATGAAACAAACGTAGTTAATTAAATTTGATATTCGCGCATTACCAATTATAATTACGATGCCTAAGATACCTACAATAAGGTAAATTTGACCCGATGAAACCAATACGTGGTCATTTAAAGTGTGCACCGTGGAAAATTGGAACAGTCAGTATCAGTTGTGAAACTGCTCTAGTTCATTTCACGAATTACAAATGGTCGTATCAAAGCGAACAATAACTCCTTGTGTACCCTTCCAATTAAATCTGGAAAAGCAACTCCGTATACTCCATGGAATTATTCCATGAAGCATTGTCATCCTTCTGTGTTTCGGTAACTAGCTAATCTTTCCCTTCGCACAGGCCACTGCAGCTTCGACGATAATTTTTGCGCATTAAAATATGACTGGAATGCCACGTTCCAGTGGACCAAAACGTCGGGCAAGACACCTACGGAGAATACTGGACCAAGATATGATCACACCACGTTTAGCAAGGATGGTAAGGAGTGCGTTCAGAACCAACACTTCATGAGATCAATTTTTCTGCCCTCTTTCAAATGCTTTTTTACCAAAATGCCGAGTAGGAGATCCCAGTGGAATATTAAGTTATGAAATACACCAAGCAATATTTGTATTTTGTACAGGTAATCACATGATTTCGAGTGCAATTTGGAATAAATAAGCGAGAGTAATTAAATGCTTTAAAAGACTAACAAAATTGCACGAGCCCGTAGGGCGAGTGCAATTTTGGGTCTTTGAAAAATTAAAAGTGCTTGTTTGTTCCAAATTGCACGAGAAAAATCATGTGATTACTTGTTAATAATATACATGAAAAAATACAAAATAACAAAGCGCGCGCATCAAGCAAAAATATGCAAAAATAATTTATTCAAAACGTGCGTTCGGTCAAAAAAACCGCGTACGATCAAAACAATAATATGCAGTGATATCTTCACATCTTTATCGCGCAAAAAAAATTCAAAGTGTGGCTAAACAGTTCAAGAAATTGTTCAGTCAATCACTTTCGATGAAATGGAGTCGTCGCCTTCCAAGGTTTAACCATGTTAATTTTTTTATTTCGGCGTTGGATCGCTCCAGCAAAGTGTTAAGCTGGGTTGGCTCGTAATTTTCGATTTCCTTGGCAATTCCCTTCTCTAAACACCACTTTTTCCAAACCGACAACCAAAAAGAAGTGCATTTTGTTGCGAAATCCAAGGCTCGCATTTGGTTGGGTATCTGTGGAGTTTCTTTGATCGCTGACCAATCAGAATGTCTGGTTTGTTACTTTCTTTGCACTGGATTAACCCTCTTCTGCACTGAATTAACTGCCTTGTGCACTGAATTATCTGAAAACTGCATTTACTTCAACCAATCAGAACTGAGTAATTTTTTTCATGTATGTTACTAATCCTAGAAATATTTGGAGGGCATACTCGACTAAACAAGGGACTAATCCTGAAAATTTCGTTTATCTATTGATATAACTATTTCTATCCGTCACTCTAATTTATTAAGTTTCTGGTTTTGTGTTGTCTTGTTTTCACGTTCTAGTTGTTCTTTTCTTAGGGATATATAGTTTTATATGTGCAATATGTGTAAATTTTCCAAAGGTCAGCCTGAAATTGTGAAAAATGCAGGATTTGTTCATAATGTTCTTCGTCTTCCTTCTATTTTTTTTACCATAGCCTGAACTTTAAAAGAAAAACAAGCATATGTAGTTCTTATTCTAAAACAGGGTCGTATATCTACATCGAAGCCTCTCCACAAATGCCTGGAGACGCAGCAAGGCTGTTAAGTGACTGGATTGAACCCAATGAAGAAGTTTGCATTCAGTTTTGGTATCATATGTACGGGTCAGATATCGGTAATCTGAGCATCTACTTAAAAACTAACCAATCAGAAAAAGTTGTTTGGACACTTTTGGGAAATCAGGGGGACCAGTGGAGGTTCGGACAAACAGCTCTAAACAGTCGAGATGCATACAAGGTAGGTTCCCTTGTATTTGTGGTTACCGAGTACTTACGACTACAAAATGTTAGTTTTGTTCATCGAAATCTATAGTTCATGAAATTAAATGTGTGAAGATACTTTTGTGATCATTGAGTTATATCATAACTATAATTATCGCTTTTATCACTACTCATATCGTTAATGTTATCGTCATACTTTTCATAATTGTCATTATTGTTTTTCACAAGTTTATCATCGAAGGAACGGTTGGCTATGGAAGCAGCGGTGATATAGCTCTGGATGATCTGACATTGCTCGATGGAAACTGCAAGACAGTTATTACGCAGAGTAAGTGAAATAACATCTTTAGCAAGTTAAATGTCTATAAGCCAGTGGCTATGCATGATTTCTGTCTTCTTTTTGTTGTTTTAGTAGGAAGAATGACAGTTATGTTTTGAAACGATCCTATGTTTAAGATATTTATGTGACATAACCTGCTGAACTCATCCACCTCTCACAGCAATTTTTGTAAATATTTCATTAAAATGTACGGGCAAATTTATGTCTCTCATGTTCCTTAATTGTAAATTTGTACATTTCTGGATAAATCCTTGCAACAAACAATCTTTACAGTACAATTACGACCCAAGCTTTGCCGTTAACTTTATTGAACATTTCGTTGTACCAGCGACATAGAAAGGCCAAACACGAAGAGAAAGTTGCAGAAGAAATACATGCGCACTCGTTTATAGCTCTGTGAATAGAAATAATTTATAGGGTAGTACCTTTTGTGGCATGTAACGATGATGAGGTTTTCCGACTTCTTTGCATTTTTAGAGAATCTGGACTGTGATTTCAAAGGAGACACATGTGACTGGCAGGCTCAAGGAAGGTGGACCCTTTCGAAAGGTGTGCCAGGATTAAACATTTTACCGTAGAGAGCTAAGAGAGTTCTTCATTTGAAAGTCGATTTTGGCCAATGATAGACAAATCTGTTCGCTGAGAAGTCATTGTATGCTTTAACAATTTTTGTACTTTGATAATTCTTCTCTACAATAATCTCTTATCAGATGGTTCCTCTATTTTTCTTCGGCATGGAGCATATGCGATGCGTCATTCTCTATTTTCGCCCCCGAACATAAATACCAACGAATGGAAGTGTTTACATCTTTGGTATCTCATCGGAGGCAGCGACGGGTATGAAGCATCCATAACGGTGCTATTAAATATGTTAAAATCAAACCTAACGATTTTGCTTTTCTTCGCGGACAAAGCTACATCTGAGGCAACATACACACAAACACCGTTACCAAGAAATTTCACAGATGCTCAGGTATTTACAAATCGCTCGTGTTGTAACTTCAGATCTTTCATAGGCTTTCCAAGCTTCATGTGAATTGGATTTATCTTAGATAAATTTGATGTTGAGTTGGAGAAGAATTTTAGTTTAAAAGTTATCCTTCACACTTAAGTGTGCTAGTCTGCTATTGACAATGACATCATCTCATATCCTTACGCAGATCGAAATAGTGGGAACGAATGAATTGAAACTTCTGGCGATCAGACAAGTATCCTTTTCCAAAGATTCTTGTGAACATATTCCCAAGCGAAGAAATGGTAAGTCTCCATCACTATTCATGGCGTCTATTCACGTGCATATTGTTCCGATTGTTGCGTTTCCATTAATGACAACGTAACACTAGATGCCACAAAACAGCGAAGGTTTCCTAATTGTTTGGCTCGCTCTCTCTGCACCACAATTTTGGAATTATATTATGGGCGGTATCTTTATTAAAAGGCTAACAACTATAAACAGAGCTCATAGAATAACCTCGTTCGTATGAAGACGTACCACAGCCGTGTATAGCTGCAAAAATGTTTTTTTTCAAATATTCGATGTCGAATATTACAATGTCAATCTACACGGCTTATAAGTGTAGTGAATTTAAATACACCCTGCAAGGGTCTACTTTTCATATTTTATCATCATTTAATCTTTAGATTTACATCAGCATAAACCCCTTGGAATGGAAAACGGTGAGATCCTTGACAAGAAGATCACCTCATCTTCACAAGTGGATATGATTCATGCCGCCATCCAAGGAAGACTTCACTTCCAAGCAACCCCAGGCAAAGCGGGGTCTTGGTCCGCTGGTTCAGAGGACTCAATTCCATGGTTTCAAGTTGATCTAGATATTCAGAACACAAGAGTTACAGGGGTTGCGACGCAAGGGAGAAACGGACCCTTCGCTCAGTGGGTTACAGAGTATAAGCTACAATACAGTAACGATGGAGTAAGCTTCAAATACTACAGGGAACCCGGACAAACCACAGTAAAGGTACGTACTTAACGTAATTAGAAGTCCACCATAGATGAATGTCCAGGACAATTCAAAAGGTCTTTTTTGCAGTAGATGAAATTCTGAGCGTCGAGTAAGTTGGTTTAAAAAGGCAAGAAAGACAATTATTGATTTTAAGGTTCAGTTGTCAGATGGAGAAATATGCAATTCATTTGTCTCGTGTGTGTTTCTCTGGAACATTTCCACACGCTCGTGACAACTGTAAGATGTACTTCTTCAAAACCAAGCCCTTGTCTTTTTTTCACACATGAGTTTTTACATGACTTACCCTCGCATAAAAATCCCCTTAATAAGGCAATTTTTCTGACGAATATCATCCCGTAAGATTTCTGTACATGAACAGGGCTTAGCACAGATTAGTAATATCTTTCTGAGCGATTGTTAAGGAGCTAAAATGCGAGCTTGTTAACATCGTAAAACTATTGATATTTATAACACAAAAATTATCATAACGCGATCTTTTGTTGATACAGCACTTTGCTGGAAACGTTGACCAGGATGCTGTTGTTTTTCATGAACTTAATCCCCCAATCAGAGCGCGTTACATCCGCTTTCGACCTGTGGCTTGGTACAAAGCAGCTTCAATGAGAGTTGAACTTTATCAGGGTGTGGAAGGTAAGTGAATTACTTACGGACGTTTATTTCCTCTATCTTTTCTGCGAAAACACTTGAAATAAGATAAAATATTCGGTATCACATTGCCAAAAAGAAATGTAAAACAGCGTTGGTGTCTTTTTGTAGGTATAAAAATTAGTAATTCACTGATAAGAATTGATAATGATCAGTAAAATAGATAAGGTATTTCTCCTTACATTGATCTGTTTTATTACCGTTAGAGTGTAATAGAGCTCTGGGAATGGAAAACAGCGAAATCTTGAGTGGACAGATTCTTGCTTCTTCACAATGGGATGGATATTCCGTCGCAAGCCAGGGAAGATTATTCTTTGAAGCGACAAGGAGGAAACAAGGAGGATGGTCAGCTGGCAAAAAGAATGCAAGGCAGTGGTTCCAAGTTGATCTGGGAAGTCAGTATGTTAAAATCACAGGTGTAGCAACACAAGGCAGGCAAGACCACGATGAGTGGGTAACCAGTTACAAACTGAACTACGGGAATGATGGGAAGAGCTTCCAATACTTCAAGGAAAAAGGAGAGGTCGAGGACAAAGTAAGTATAAAAAGAGTCAATCAAATCTTTATCATGCAAATATGTTTTAGCAAACAATAATCAATGCCATTAAATTGCCATTTTTCAACTTCTGATGATGTCAAGCGTTAAAATTCTATCAGCTAATCAGCTGATAGGCAATCGATAACAAGTTGATCTGGAAAATCTATCGCCTTGATCAGTTAATATCACCGGTACTCATCGTCTTTTGTTTTTCCTTTTTAATGAGTTGAAAAGTTGGACGAATGTAATGTTTTGATCTGTTATGAAGTCTTAATAGCCAGTTTTCTTGTTATGACCTTCTTTGCCGCGGACTCGTTACCATATCCCATGCGATATCCACTAAAATTATCTACGTTTTAAGGCAGCCCTTCATTATAACTAATAAACAAATCTCACTCTACATTCGTCTTACATAGGAGTTTATTGGAAATGTGAACCGTGACAGCATTGTTCATCATGAACTTTACCCAGCTATCAAAGCCCGTTACATTCGCCTTCAACCCCTGTCTTGGCATAACTGGATATCTATGAGGGTGGAATTGTATGGTTGTTCAGAAGGTAGGCGAAGTATCATCCTCTAAGTGAAAATGATTTTCATTTTTTTCTACAATATCTTTATCTGATACAGTCCTTTAGCTCAAAGACGTTCTTACCCTATTGCATACAGTTGCATGCTTGTTCTTTTTTTTTTTCAATTTCTTTGTTGTCTGACTGAGGACAACAACGAGGAAGCAATTGTTTAGAAGGTATTTAAAGTTGGAATATATACTCAGTTAGTATAGCTTAGAAAAGTTGCGGTATAGATTATGATTTAGGGTATTTATTAACTTGATTCGATTTCAATAACACAAACAGAATGTCAAACGGATCTTGGCCTAAAAAATAGAGCTATTCCTGATGCACAATTAAGCGCTTCATCGCAGGTGGATCATTACCATGCCGCATCTCAAGGAAGACTAGAATATGAAGGTGAAGAGTGGAGATCGTCAGCCTGGTCAACTCTCACTAACGATAAAAGCCAATGGCTCCAAATTGATCTTCGAAGTATCTACATTAAAGTAACCCGGGTGGCGACACAAGGTCGAACCGGTTGGCACATGATCTGGCAGTGGGTAACACATTACATGCTGCAGTTCAGTGATGATGGAGAAAACTTTACTTTCTTCAAGGAACTAGGAAAATCAGCGGCAAAGGTAGCATACATGTTTTGTTACGGACGTGTTAGCGGTGTGTTCTGTTACAATGATAGATATTTAGATGAACAAATTGCCGTTCTTTCAATTTAGAATTTTAGTGGAAACAGTGACAGCAATACTGTTGTTCATAATGACTTAAAGCCACCGATCAGAGCTCGTTACATCCGCTTTATCCCACAAGCTTGGTATCGCCATATATCGATGAGGGTGGAGCTCTACGGATGTCTGGAATATAGTAGCAAAGGTGAGGAATGCAGCTTGGACTTAAAATAGGATCATCTCTTTAAGAAAATAGCGAGCGAAAATTATTCGACAAGACCAGAGAATGTGTCGATAATACAGTGCAGCTTTCTCTTCACGAAGCAGTGATGAATGACTGACTGACTAATATAATGACTGATCAACTGACTGGTCAATTGAAAAAGTGGCTGACTGACTAGCGCACAATGTCAGTATGACAAATTGTAGCATCGGATTTCGGCTAAATTTGGGTATGGTTAACATATAATCCTACTTTATTGGTACATTTTGACGGCACTTATTTAATTAGTCTTGCCTTGGCTTGACCTTGGATATTTTGGCTTGACTGCCTTGCTCCAAAATACGAATTATGACTCGACCGAGCTTGCCTTCTATGCGGCCCAAAAGTACCACCTGACGCGAATAGGTATGGTAGCTATCCTTGCAGATAAAAGGTTTGGAAATGGTCTTCACCCGTATTTACTCCCTATAGTTTCCATGAATGTATCCGAATGTCGACAAGCCCTTGGTATGCAAGACGGTATAATATCAGATGGTCAAATCACTGCCTCCTCGGAATATATGGGCGGATATGCTGCAATCCAAGCTAGGCTGCACTTTGCACGAATAATCGCACACAAGGCTGGGTCTTGGTCAGCGGAGAGAAATGATTTACATCAATGGTTGCAAGTAGATCTAGGAAGTCATTACTTTAGAGTTATCCGAGTTGCAACGCAAGGAAGGCATGATGATAGCCACTGGGTGACAAAGTATAAGCTAGAGTATGGAAATGACGGAGAAAAATTTCATTACTACAGGGGATCCGGAAAAATTTCAGATAAGGTAATGTAATTGATACATCTTCTACACTAACTGGTATTTCGTTCCTCAATCCTTAACTTTCAGCCTCAATTCCGATTCAAGGACCCAAAACCTCAATCAATTTCTGGCACGGGAACAAATATCTACAGGTCATAACTCTGGTCTTTTTTAATTTTTTCCTTCAAAAAGACTGGTCCTTTTCCCGTTGATATCACTATGACTTATCATAAATACGAAAAAATACCTCTAAAAAAGACGAAATTAGAACATACCACTATTATAATTAATGATTATTCGTAATCGAAAGAATCAAAAGTCATGAGAGGAAGAAGAGGCTGGGTCACTCGCCTTCAGAAACTGCGAACTTTTCGAAGAATGCTCTAAATGAGAGAAATTAATGTATTTAAGCAATTCTATAGATGAATAACCATATACCATTAACGGTTGTTCTACTTTTTTAACCTAGGATTTTGTTGGAAACTATGATCGAGACACTATCGTTTTTAGTGAACTAAACCCACCAATCTATGCACGTTTTATCCGCTTTCGACCACAACATTGGTTTGGCCACATAGCCATGAGGGTAGGGGTCTATGGATGTCAAGGTGAGGAAGTTTCAGTCTTCTGAATCATTTAAAAAATGCAAAAGACATATGACTTTTCGCATTTTTTTCATAATCTTTCAACTCATTTAGTCCCCTAGACTGTTCTTCCATTCCATCTACCACACCCTCTGGTGTGCACCTGCATTTTTTGCATGCACTTGATTACTGTCAATGTTTATAAACGCGAGTCAGAATTGAGTCACTAGTTGTGATCTACCAACAATTCATGCTTGTATTTTGCTGGTGTTTTTTTGTTGTTGTTTGTGGTTTGTTTTTTCTAACATGGAATTTAAGGATGCATGTAAATACGAAGAAGTCTCATAGATTTCTTAAAACCCTCAGAATGTACGAAACCTCTCGGTGTGAGCAGTGGTGCAATATCTGAAACACAAATGAGTTCTTCTTCCCAACTGGATGATGCTCATGCCGCTGTGCGAGGAAGACTCAACTCTATGGCAACTGAGGATAAAGGAGGATCCTGGTCTGCTGCCTCGAACAACCGCCGCCAATGGCTTGAGATTGATCTGCGTAGTCAGAACATCAATGTGACCCGTGTAGCCACTCAAGGAAGTCATGATTCCAGACAATGGGTGACGAAGTATAAGCTGCAGTACAGTAAAGATGGTGTAAACTTCCAATATTACACAGAGCCAATGAAAACTGCACATAAGGTGGCGCTTATTTGTTCACAGACAACTTTACTTCAGTTTCCCTTTTCAATTCCCTATGATCGTCCGGCGATAAATCATCTTTATTGCCAAACACAGAATTTCCGTAGCATCGGTGTATTTTTTTCGCCTTTAACCTGTTAATATGATGTCCTATAGTCAATGCCAAGTTTCTTTACACCTTGGCATACCGGTTACAAAGATAAATTGTCTACTAGATAGGTAGAAAGAAACAAATTACACTTTGCTGTAAGGAAACAGGTGAGATTATCTCTTATCGTCAACGATATTCGTCATCACAGTGGTCAAAACGTTGATTGTCGATGATTGACAGTCGATTTGTTTTTACCACATATCGACGTCAAATGAAACGATTCTTTCATTGCGTGACCATTGCGTCACACGTGGACGCGAGCCTCTGTACTGCTGAGCTCTGTACCCTTATCGACGACGGCAAACTGGCCAATGGGATTGCGATGTTCCTGCCAGTTGTGGTAAAATTAGGATTCCACATGAGTTCTATAACAAAGCAATACGCTTTTTTCTCAAAAATGCATCCTTTGAACCTAAATATTACGATCATCAAGAGTAAAATTTTATCTGAGACGGTATTCTATCCAATTTTCTATCTGTAGATTTTTGATGGGAACGTTGAGCAACACGCCGTTGTTTATAATGAACTTGTCCCGCCTATCACAGCACGTTTCATCCGTTTTCGGCCCCTTGACTGGTATGGTCATATATCAATGAGAGTAGAACTTTATGGATGTCAAGGTAATTTAGGATTTGTTGCCTTCCTGAAAACTTTCATTCAGTTCATCAAGCGACCAAATAATCGAAGTCGGATTTGTTAGGTTTGGTTTAGGATGCGTATGACACTCACACCCGTAGCAAAGGACGTGAAGTAACTTTTTAGTTTTTTTTTGCTGAGTCAGTATTGATATCGAGGTATTCCAAGGAAGGATATCAAACATTTTCGTGTAACACCGGAATTTTCTTGTATGAGGATGTTGTATCTCAAGGTGTCTTGTTCCACCCTTTTAGATGACCGTCCCTGTGACACATCGGTAGACTGGTGTGGGTGGAAAAACGAACGTGGCTGGAAAAGAATCAGACATAAAGATCTTGATCAGGTCTATCAGAGTGAAGGTGGCGGTGGTAAAGGTTCGTGATGACTTCTTCAAAAAGCTTGATAAGAATTAGATGTGATTTGTTTCGTTAAAAAAAAAATTTCAGCATTTGTAATAGACATTGAAATAAAGATGACGATAGCGCTACCATAAAAATTGTTTTACTTCTGTTTTTGCTTTTTCCGCCTTAGGTTTCAGTGACAACAAAAACTTCGAGGTCCACCTCCCTGACAGCGAATACGGTTACATATCATTATCTAATGTGGTACTGGATGAATGCTGTTTTACCATTTGCTTTTGGTTGAATACTGCTGACAGTGGCTTCTTTATGGAATACAAAAATGCGGGATCAGCCGAAGAAAACGAGACTCTTGTTTTCGGAATCTACTGTGGGAAAAACACATTTCTTCTTCAAAGTGGCAGCGAGAGAAGGTATTAAAGTAGGATGGATGTAGGGTTGTTTCTTGTCTTATATTTGATTCACAACCTTTGGAGATTGCCTTAACAGAGAGGACGCCTCAAAATTATTAATTGCTGGCAGGTTAACTGCTTGGAACCGTGGTTCATGCAAAGAGACCTCGCTCTCTCTTTCCCTTCATTCAAAGCTTGTAAAATTGTGTCAGCCAGTGTTGAGCGTGATATTTTTTTCTGCAATTGCTAATTACCAAATATTGCAACAAAACGAAATTAAGAGCAATTGTAATCAAGCAAAAGCTCAAAAATTTCCACTCAAATAAATTTTTTACTTGTATCAAACAGAACTTAAAACATAATCAACTAAGTCCTCATACAAATCAAATAGAAAAAAAAATTGGGGAGTTTTACTCATGTGAGCATGAACAGTGTCTTTTGCTCTTTCTGCACAGCGAGCAATCTATGGACGTGATGGACTCCACCTGGCACCACGTGTGTGTCTCGTGGGATGGGAAAGTTGGACTGCTTGCAGTTTTCAAGGATGGTCATAGAAATTTCAAGCTAAATGAGTTCATGGCGTCCCTACTTAAGAAGCCGAATGAAGGTAGGAAGAAGACATACACTATTTTGGGAGGGGGGAGGGGGGGGTCAGAAGGTTAGGGACCTCTGGTGTAATCTTTTTCTGAGCTGTACCTGGATGTGAACAGGTTCAACGAAGAAACTGATGCTGGATGATATTCAAGTTTAGCTGAAAACTTAGCCGAAAGGTTAAGTTTGAGTAAGGTTTGATAATGGAGACCATTTTGCAAAGTTAACTTATTGTTTGCGGTGAGAACATGGAAGGTCGGTCATTTTCACCCTTTGCTTCTATCGACCCGTGAACAACATGCTTTGCACCTTTTGATCCTTTTAAACGAATTTAACCTGAGAAAGATTTGTTTTAATTTGCAAATACAGGAGTCGTGACAATTGGTTTTAGGAATAAAAATGGAACTGCCTCAGCTATTCTTGGTAAACTGAGTGGCGTCAATATTTGGAGCACTTTGGTCACAACAGAAGAGATACTGCGCATGTCATACGGTTGTGGGACAGAAGTTGGCAATGCGATGGCCTGGGGAAAAGTTAGAAATGGGCTGATTGGGAAAGTGGAGATGCAGTCACGTCCAACTTGCAACGATGGAAAACGTAAGGCTTACCGTGATAACTTCATTGTTGTTATCCTTGTAAGCCAAACATTAGGAGCAAACTTTCTGTTGTGGTTTTAATAACAATCTCTTTGAATACCTGTTTCGTTCGATTAACAGAAAGGATAGTTTGATACATGGCCTATCCTTACATCTTTTGTTTGATTTAAGGATTTATGTTCCCTTTTTTTGTTTTTCTTGTGGTCATTAACATTATTTCCTTTTCCGTTTTCGACAAACTTTAATGGTGATATCTATTCGAAGGTAAATAACTATAGTCAATCAGTAGTCCAAAAATATTACCTCTATTCAGTTGGTCTAGTTTTTCTGTCATAACCTATTCAAACTATTGATGACTAGGGGTTCTTTTGACACAAGATTGTCTCAGTCTCCAGCTAGCAAGAGGTGATTTTGGGTTTTAATGAAATTGTAGCCTGATCAGTGTAGAATACTACAAGTCTCTTATATTTTGTGGGTCAAAAGTCTTTCAGTAGCGTTTCTTCATCTTTTAAATGAAATTTAAAGGAATGCACCATCCTCGATTATCACACGTTTATCATTTGCCAGACTCAAAATTAATAATAAGGATTACTAGCAGCTAGTATTGTGTTTCTATGACCACCAGGTGCCAGGCTTGTGGTAGATACCGTCGATTTGGAACCAAATGGGACCGCTGTTCTTGTGAGCCCGACATACAATAGATCAAATGACGGGAAAAGCAGATGCTTGAGGTTTCGCTATATGCTGCGGGGGTCTGGAGATAAAACGTTGACAATTTTACAGAAAACCGGAAGTTTTCATGAAATACCCATCTGGATGTGGAAACGCAATTCTGGCCGGGGTTGGATTTATGGTCAAGTTCCGCTGACCTCTACTACGAAGTTTAAGGTGATATAAAAACTGTGACACTTACTTTTCCATACATTCATACACGTACTAAAATGAACGATGCAGGCCATCAATTCACCGTGGTCAGTTAATGGTATTACTGATAAGTTGCATAAAGTCTTCTGCACAACCTAAAGGTAAATTAACAAACTTCGTTTTCTCTTTAGATTTTGATTAAAGCTCAAAAAAGCAGGAAGGAAGACTTGATTGCTTTAACAGGAGTATATGTCAAGGAGGGACTCGATTGCAAACTTTGGCCCCTGTCGGCAAAACAAGGTAACTTACTTACTTTTACCTTGCCTTGCATTGTTACCTTATCTATCGTCCCATTTTACATAATTTTTTATAGCGGGTAATAAAATTAGCATGTAGTTTCAAAGGAAGGAAAGAATGCATTACTTTTTTAAACCCTTTCTGAGGATCTCCTCCTTTTTAATTCCTATGAAACGAAGTTGACCATTCGTTTTAGATCCGAGGCATCATTTTCTTCGAGAAAGTAACATAGTCTCTTGAATTATCTTTGTAAAATGCTATCAATCACTCTTCTCAAGTCCTTGTTTTGCTGTTCTCTTCATCTGTGTAAAGTAATACCAAGCAGTTCATAAACTTTGCTGCTCTACAGTTCTTCATTAATCTGTGTTTTGCACTTTTGCTTATTTTGTTTCCTTCTGTTTGTTTTGTTTGTTTATTTACTCACATATCTATCTGCATATTTTTATTTCCAGCCTGCAATGAGGACTTAACTGATCCGTCAGGATATCTCTTTTCGCCGGCCTATTCCGGCGATGTTCTTAATGATATCGCTTGTACGTGGTACATTAATGTCCCACGAAATAACAAGATTCGCTTGGAATTCCAAGATTTCCACCTTCCGGACCATCCCACGTGCAAGGACTGTTATCTTCAAATTTTTGATGGAAGTGAAACGTCTTCTCCTGCGATTGGTCGATTCTGCGGATATATGTATCCTCCTATTGTCATTTCTTCATCAAATCATCTCAGCATTGCTTTGCGTTGTGCTGCCAGTTCCTACAAAGCCAGATTCAGTATTTTCTATAACTCCACGGCAGGTATGAAACGCGACATCTCTGAATTTTTATTGCAAGTAAGCAGTTTTTAGGTTTTCTACTTTTGGAGCTCTAATAGAAAAAGGAGATATTGTAATGGAATTCAAATGTCACGTCATAATTTCATGCTATTGTTTATTTTTCAATTTTTCAGCTCACATGGATTTAGAGTCGTCCTGTTCGCTTCAGCAAGGTGCACAAAGAATCTTGAGCTAATTTGCTTTATTTTTTTCATTTGATTTCGGACTAACGTTTTGTAAGACAGCATTAATTTAAACGAACGAGTTTCTATCTCATATACGTCACTATCGCTATTGCCACACATCTAGACTCCTATTAAAATTAGGTTTTTTGAGCTGTGCAGATTTAATTGAAAAGGAGCTATCTAATTTGGTCTTTCTTCAGTCTTTTGTCCCAAAACTGTAAGTGTTTCGATGCTTCTTTACGTATCAACTTATAAATGATGGTCTTAAATTTCTTGCCTTTCAATCAATGCTAATGAGCTTGTGTCTTACAACCCGCCTAGAATGTCCATCAAGCTGCAAATGTGAAGAGTTTGGTGGAGAAGTAGACAAGAGGATACTGGTGACAGGAGAAGATTTACTAAATGTACCACATGACCTTCCAACAAACGTCGGAGCAGTGTATGTGACATTTGGGGTCCTTTTGATCTTGGTTTATTCAAACTCTAATCGCCTTTTGCTTTATCGTGATTTCCTTCCCACAAGAAAGTTGAAAGTTCGTTCCTCGTGTTTCTCAAAACAACTGATATTCTTTCTTTGTGTTTAAAAAGGTTTTTCGGGCAAAACCGGATCTCCCAATTGCGCGAGGAGGACTTCATAAACCTCTTGAAATTAGAATATATGTGAGTAAACATGTAAACTTTTGTTTAAGATTGGTCAATTCTCATTGCAGCGACAGTACGAATCTTGAACATTTTACTGTAATTAATCGAGATTATGGTTAAGAAAACCAATTGATCTCCTTAGCCTATGCCTTGATTGACAAACTTTGGGCGAACGAAGCTTTCCCTGTACGTTCTGGAAAAAAATTAAAACAAATTTCTCCCTTTAAAACTCAGTTTCTTTGACCTCAGCTTAAAGTTGTTGATCACCTTTTTAAAAGCGTTCTCATTTCTTTCTTCCTCTTCCTTAGTGATATGAGCTTCAATACCCTGCTTCGCGTGGATGAAGACAGCTTTCAAAATGTGACATCCGTCAAGACACTGTAAGTATCAATTAAACAGTGATTTATTTCATAGTGACTGAGTAACTCTTCCGCCTTGAAGTCCGTTGCGAGATCGATAATGACATTTGTCGTAGCAATCGATATATTTTTCCTTTTTGTTGTAGGAGACTTGATTTTAACTTTATTCGAGCTCTTCCTGTTGGGGCCTTGAAAAGATTATCCAATTTACGCGTGCTGTGAGTATTTCATGTGAATAACATTATTCTTGATGATTTTAGATATATGAAATTCATATTCTTGTCCTTTGTGTTCTCCAAAGGACATGAATGTGCTTAGATCTAAAATTGCATTTTGAAAAGAGAGTAGAAAACTCTGCAAAACAACAACATGAAATGACCAAACTTTGCATTGTCTGGAGAGCGTGAACGACGACGGCTAATTTTTTAAATTTCTATCTCTAACTTAACGCTGTGTTCCATATTCAGTTTCGACAGCGAGAAACAAACTTAATGACTTAAGGGTACTGCGAGATTCGTTGGTAAAATGTAAGTTTAATTTTTAACCGATGTTGTCCTCGGCGTCGCCGTCATCGTTTCTTAAACTCCCTAGTACGGGGAAGGGGAATTTAAGTTTTTACCTCTTTTTAAGTTAATAAAATAAATTGATTGTTTTGTTTCAGTGACCTAGGAAGGAACCTTCTTCGGGTTGTATTCAGCAAGATGCTTGATGGACTCTCAAATCTGGAAGTACTGTATGTACTTATTTTTAGTGAAAAAATAATCTTATTTTTTTTAAGTCTATGGTAATCAGCTAAATCATCTCTCCTCTTGGTTTTGTTTGCAGGAGTTTTCGCTCTAACCAAATCGAGCTGCTGGAATATGGTGCTTTTAAGAACCAAAGCAATATGACGCATTTGTAAGTGCATTAAATTGGTCACTAGTAAAAACTGATTTTGACTGTCATTGGAAAAATCAATGGAAGAACACCTGATGAGCAAATAGGGGGCGTGGCTCCATCCAATGGATAAATCTCTATCTTGTGGATAGCGCCGTACATTTTGTTAGCACTCATCCGCTGGATAGCTATTTGTGTATTGGATATCGTTATGCATCCTTAGAACAACTGGGTTCTGTTATTTAAGCCAAGTCAGTAGATACATATTTCTTTCTTTTTATTTGTTTTTGTTGTTTATTTAATATCATTCTTGTTTCCATTTAGGTACCTACAGGATAATAAGCTGAAAGAAGTGTCAAATGGGATATTCAAAGACCTTATGAAATTAAAAGTATTGTGAGTGCATTGATACCATATTTAGAGCAAAACCTACGGAAAGGGACAATGATAAGAGTGTACTCCTATATTTGTCATGTGACTGTTTCATGGCGAATACAAGGAAGTCATGAACTATAACTGACTTTTGTCCCTCATTTTTCGAAGGATTGAGTAAAGTTTCCATAAAAAATATCTTATTAGCTACTTGATACTTTTTATCTTGATCTATTTGAAATCTCCAGAAATCTTAGTAAGAACGAGTTAACAGCTGTTTCGAAGGAAACCTTTCAAGGATTGAAATCACTTGAATATCTGTAAGTATACATGTTGCTGAGTAAAAGTAGACTATTAATTTCTCTATTCAGAGATTGCACCTTACTGTTAAGCTGTATTCTCATTTTTTTAGTCACTTTTATTTGATTTTTATCAAAAGTGTACTCGAAATTCAAAGTTAAATTAGATATAAAAAAACTCTTCTTTCACAACTACTCAAGAATTTGCAACAGTTGATGAATAGTTTATCGGAGTGTTTTTTAACTCAGTCAGGAAGGTCGAAGATTCACTGCACGAAATGCTTTTCCTCACCATCAACCAAGTTACACAATAAATTCGGAGATATAAGAGAGAGAATTCGATTTTATCAAGAGTACACATCAACACGATTCGTTCTTTCACTTTGTGAATGGATCAGTGACGGCAGAAGAGAGTTTGATGTGAATGTCTTACGCATCAGCAAAGTTGACATTGGGACACAACGTAAGGTAAACCAGTTATTCTTGCTTACTTTTTTTATGCATCAATTCAGGTACCTGGACAGCAACAAACTTACTAAAGTACCTCCAGACGCATTCAATGACCTCAAGAACCTCAAGTATCTGTGAGTAATCTTCTTTTTAATCTCCATCAGTCTAAATTGGTAAAATCTAAAGCTAGCTCAGTTTTTCCCAAAAAGAAAATCTTGATGATGGTTTTTTTACTTTACACAGTATGTTTTTTAATTCAACAGTCCATTCCATACGTTACAATTACGGTTAAAAGTCACTGCTCTTTTGAAATCAACTCATTTAAGGCCCTTTGCTAATATTCAGACATTCAATCATTGGACATCGATAAAATCACCGTACATTTTGGTTTGACGAATTCAGAATTTTGTTAATTGTCTGTTTAAGAAAGCAAGATAAAATTATGAAAGAAATGAAAGTGAAGTTTACTTATTTTTCAATTATAATAGGAGACTAGATCGCTTCATATTCTGTTGCTATGCCAAGAAGTCAATTGAAGGAGTTGCTTGCGATTCCCCAGTTGATGAATTCTCAAGCTGCGATGATCTCATGAAAAACAAAACTCTTCAAGTTTGTATCTGGATACTGGGAATCCTTGCCTTCTTTGGTAACCTCGCTGTCATAATATGGCGCATAATTGATAAAGAGGAGAACAGAGTCCAATCGTTCCTACTGACAAATCTAGCATTTGCCGACATGTTCATGGGTGTCTACCTGTTGGCAATCGCCATTATGGACGCGAGGTGGCAAGGTGAATATTTCAAGCATGACCATGAATGGAGGTCTGGCTGGGGTTGTCGAACTATTGGAATTTTATCGATGCTTTCCAGTGAGGTATCTGTACTAATTCTAACAATCATCACCATGGAACGATTTATTGCAATTGTCTTCCCATTCAAATTCAAACGCCTGACCATCAGATCTGCCGTATTCACCTGTACAGGAGTGTGGATATTTGGAATAGTTATTTCAGTGATTCCCATCACCGGAATAGACTATTTTTACGATCAGAACGGTGATTTTGGTTTTTACAGTCGTTCAGCAGTTTGCCTTCCTCTTCAGCTGTCTGAAGGAACCCCGGCCGCTTGGCAATACTCCGCCTCCTTCTTTATTGGGATGAATTCCATTTCTTTTACCTTTATCCTGGTGGCGTATATCTCAATTTTTTTGACGGTGAAGCGTGTAACCCACTCTGTTCGATCGACGAATTTAAATAGAGAATCCGCCATGGCTAAGAGACTTGTTTTTATAGTGATGACAGACTTCTGCTGCTGGATGCCCATAATAATCATCAGCATTTTATCTCTGATAGGAAATTTCAGTGATCCAGACAAAATTGCTTACGTGTGGATTGCAGTGTTTGTTCTTCCCCTCAACTCCTCCATTAATCCAATCCTTTACACGTTTTCCACCGATAGAGCAAAACGTAGCTTTCGCCAGGAGGGGAAAAGCGTCACTGGTTTCGTTATGAAGACCTTGAACAGACGTACAGAAGGTGGGTATGTCTGTTGAGGAATACTTTGGTTATCAAACTCTGAATACTATTCTCATCTCAAAGATACGAAGAAGCCTTAGAAATTACCTTATTCAGTTGTAGTTTAAGTGTGCTTCTATCTCATCGTCTTCACTCACAACAAATTGCTACGAAAACAGAAAAAAACAAGCGAAAGCAAACATAAAAGTGGGAAAAACCACGTGCAAGCGGTTGTAAATGAAGCCTAATCACACAAGGTCGCATTACACGTCAGAACCAACCTAACTAAATTGTGCTGTAATTGTTCACAATTTTTGTAAAACTATCAATATACGTGGTGTTAGGTGTTCTATTCGTCTTCAAAAATCCCCTTTTGTTTTTCCATCCTGAAACGTACCTTTATTCATGATCAGTTGGCTATTATTTTTTCCTTTGAAGATCGATTGTCCTGTTCCTCGAACATCTCCAGAAAACCGTTTCTGTCTAAAGTCCTTTCGATTTGCAGCCCCCAGCGAAAAGCAAGGGTATTGAAAAAGCCGCAGCTCGAGAGCGTTGTCGTGCACGCTAATCTGAAGCTGATTGAAGAAGTAAACATGTTCAAAGATGATACTGCTGGAAGAAAATCAATAGTAAGTACCTCTTTGTGATGATAAAAATGGCGTTTTTGTGGCTACAGACTAGAGAAGATTAAGTCAAAAGCCAATCCTATGCTATATATTTGTCGCTAGTTCGCAACTCTCTCCGTAAGCGTTTAGGGACCTGTACCTTAATCAAGGGAGAGCCCTTAGAGTAAGGCTTATTTGACAAATACACTATTTTTCCGTTCATATGTTACAGGATGCTTTACTTAAAGACCTTTCTTATGCTTATTTCTTGAACTTCCCTTAGAATATGAAATTAATCTTGTTCTGAATATTTTTCCATCCACCAATCTTGCGCAAGGATCTTGCATCTCTTACAAAAAATTTGCAATTACTACTCCCTGTGTCGCCTACCTTAGATTTACCATTGCCACGTATGACATGTACAAATGAGTATAAGCTTCACGTCACCTCTCGCTGTTACAGGGTTATGTTACAGCTTCGTGTGAGGAAGGAGGTGTTTTCAATATGGTGTTGCTAAAGTACTTTGGAGAAGAAATGAAGGAGGACTGGAATCGGGAAGTGGGTGTAGTGCAGAGCCTCTCTTGTGACGAGCACCCACAGTCCAATGTGTTACATTATCGATGGCACTGCAAAAGTAAGTGAACCTAATTTTTTTAAATGTAAACACCAATTTTTAGAATTGCCAAAAATTGTTCGTACCAATTTGAAATCCTAGTTTACTTACTGCTTCTATTCCATATATATATATTTTTTACCTTTTGTTGTTGTTGTTGTTGTTGGAAAATCAGGATCTGTGAAGTTCACAGAGCCACAGCAGAGCCTTTTTTAATGATTTCATAGGTGCTGTACTGGACCTCTGAAGTTTTTTTTTTTCTGTTAATTTCTTTAGCTAGCGACCTGAATATCGAGCAAGGCAAAACGATGCTCAATGCTTTACAAGGAAAAAGTTTGTAAGTTTTTAGTGAATGGGAGCTTTATTATCAAACATATTTATGGAAATTTCCATACTATTGATAACAGGTGATACAACGGATATTAAAATGAAGTGTTTCCTTTTTTTTTCTAAAAGCCTGATATGTTTCGACTTTGTGTCGAGTTCAACTCTAGAAGATTTTATTTGTGAGAAAGGAACTGTCATCGACTTTGAGTCAATCTGTGCGGTAGCTTGTGACGTCCTTGGCGCTATAGAAGGGCTACAGGAAGTTGGAATACTTCATAACAACATCACAACACAAAACATTCTGATCAGCCAGTGCCCAAGGGTAAGTAAAGTGGTAATGTGGTTAGCATATGTACATGTATCTTCTTATATGTTTGCTACCGCAGACTTTCTCTTTCACCGAAAAGTCGACAATTATATAGTTCTTTATTCAAAGGTTACTTTGCTTTAAAAAATTCCTCGTAGTTTTACACAAATGTTTCTTTGAGCTTTTGAGGAAATTTCGTGGAAACAGAAAACATTTCACCTGCATCCCTTTTTCGTAAGGCTGGATGGCATATCTTTGGTTACTTGGAAATCGACCTAAAATAGTCCAGTTTGGTTTTGACAGAGAGTTAGAATAATCCAATGGAGTGTGCGCTGCACGCTTAAACCTGAGGTTCGTAGGTCGAGTCCCTCCCTGATCAGTAAATGGGTTTCGCTTTTCTTGATAGTCCCTTTTTCTACACTCAGTCCAGGGTTGTAAATTGCTAACTGGTTGGCCTTCTACCCGTTGAGGTTTAAATAAAGTTCCTTTAGATGTCTATTATAAGCTTTAAGATATTTGAGCGCATTTTTAATAAGAGAGACACAAAGAAAACCACTTATTCACCCATAATTCTGCCACCCTTAGATAGTCATTTTTTGTTGTTGTTTTGAGTTGGAGAGAGGTTATGGTTATTGCCTCCATGTATTTTCCTTTCACAGATTCCTCCAATCAAAGCAGTCTTGGGTGGATTCTCTCGTGCATCCAAGTTGAAGGAAGAAAGCGCGTTTACAAATGAAGCTATCGATAAACAGAGTTGTTTTGGCAGCCATGTTAAGCAGTTTGGACATTTGTTGGCCACACTACTGGGACACTGTCACGGCTCTAGTGAACAGGTCAAGGTAAACATCGACAAGTTACATTAACTTAAGTAAAATTTTACCGCTTGAACAGTGACAAAGATACACAGTGACCTTCGCACATACATTTTCTTTTCTCCAATAGCTACATGAAATTATGAACCTCTGCTTTGAGGAAACACCAGAGAAGAGGCCTACAGCGTCTTTCCTCCGAGAACTCTTGGAAGAGGTCTGGTGCACAAAGGGTTTTAGTGATTCATTTGTCTGATTTAACATACGGACAAAAACACTTTACAAGTGTAAAAATACTATTGGTTGAGCTTTTTAAATATCAAAAAAGGTTTGTCCATCCCTGCAGTACGTAGGGTACAAGCCATCACAGGACGAAATCACATGTTTCCGTATTTCTGGAACGTGGCGGAAACATGCAACTCCATGTTTCCGTTATGTTTACGTAAAAGTGATCCGGTTCCGTTGTATACGCAGCAACGGAAACGCGAGAAAACGTCACGAAACCGGTAACGGAAACACAGGTTATCCGTCGTGTTTCCGGAACGGTTTAACATGTTTCTGCCACGTTTCCGTTTACGGATTCTTGTAATTTCGTCCTGTGCATAGGCAAAAGCGATGTTTATCTCTTCAATAACGGCAGAATGATTAGAACAAAGCGCATTAATAATTCTGCCTGTAAATAGTTAAACCTTGCGTAGAGCACATTGGTACGAAATGTATATTCTGTTGGTAAAAAGAAAATAGTCTAAAAATGCTTATTTGTTTAAGAGCCATATTTTAATGTGCACCCACGGTATCGCTCTGCAAACTTAATTCGCAGTTAATTTTTAAAAATCACCTTTCCAACAACATAAAGAACGCTTTCATGATATTAAACGATGTAAATGATTTTCAAAGAAAACAACGATACATACATATATTCAAGATTTGTGGAAAGATAAAAATCGCTGAAATATTTCGCTCGTGCGCAGATACATGTACGGTCGCGTATCGGATTTTAAAATGGACATGACTGAAAAAAATAAAAAATATCTAGAAGCTTAGTCTGTCTTGTTTGGAACTTTGAAATCCATCATTTTCATAACAGTGTGTTCTGTAGCATTGTTTTTTTACATTTTGAGCTCCAGAAGGTTTATTGCGATTTGACAATTTTGAAAGTCGGCCGTGCGGACGCCATTTCTTCCAAGTTGGTCATTTGTTGTGTACACCACGGGAATAAATGCTCGGTCTGAAGACGCTCGTTTACCAGTACACTTGATCTTTCACCTATCAGATTGATTGGTTCATGACTAATACCCGATGAACTTACGTGCTCGGATATTTTCGATGAAACTATTTGAATGAATCCCTCAGTAGACACAAAAACGATTTGATTTTTATTGTGTTCGTTCCATCAACTACGGACTTCCTCGTCTTAGTTTATAGATATTACTGTAGTTTGCAGTTAGTCAATTACAGTCCAACCTGTAGTTAGCAGAAATCCTTGGAGAGAGTGGCTCGGTGACCTCTTAATACAGGTTGTCCTCTTCATACAGGTTCCACAGATTAGGAGTATTATAAAACGATAAACGTCATCTGGTGCAAAATTGATCACTCAACGTACAAAGACTCGCACAAAAATACCACTAACATTGCTTTCGGGAGATAAACATAGATTAAAATATATTTGAAAGATTAATCTTTGTTTTATCAGAGGTTATAGACAATATAAACAGGCCGTGGGGACTTAGTAGAGGGTGACCACGACCGCTTAATAGAGGTGACTGCTAAAGAGAGGTGAATATTACAGGTATTAAGGGGAAACAGTTTCTGGACTTTGGAAACCTACCGCTTAATACAGGGTGTCCGCTTAACACAGATTCGACTGCATATTCGCAAGGAGTCTGATTCACTTAGTATCAACCACCCGTACATGCTCGAGGGAAGAAAAAGACCAGTGTTCAAATCGACAAGAAAGAAAGATTAAAAAAAAAAAAACTGATAACAAGCAACCATTGCTTGCAAAGTGGACGGTGTACATGGTTTGTTGCCAGTTTTGGGTGTAAAAGTACGGCTGCGTTTTTCTGTTTTTTTCATTTCTCGCCTGGCTCTGCCTCTTTTTCGAATACCCGATAAGCGTCTACAAGAGGGACTAGAACTCCCAGATCAAAGCCAGTATAGGAGCAACCTTGCACCTAAGTTTGGGTTGACGTGCGTTAGTTGAGGGACAGTTGCCTAGATGGTGACATTGATCGAAACTTCCAAAGAGTTTTTCTAGGTACAAAAGTGTGGCTGTTACGTTCGGGAACTTTTATTCAGTGATGTGAAACGAAATTATTGATGTTTATTTCCATAGTGTCAGAATCTGCGTAACTGAGGTGACCGCGGATAATTGGCATATTTTTCCCTAATCTGTGTGATATGTTTCTCCATATTTTTTCCAAATCAAAGTTATGTCAAAAGGAAGCCCCTGAGAAAATGGTGGAGTAGCGCCTGGCAAAGGCTGCAAAATAATCCTAAGTAGTGCATTATTGCGCAAGATTACTTTGAACGAACTGTAATATAAGCTTGGGAAATCAGCTGCTAGTTTCCACTTCCTTTTACGAAGTAGCAATGCAAATTTTACATGTTACACGAATCTTTGTTGTGTTACTCCTTAAAACATGCAAAGAGAGGGTTAAAGTGTGCGGAGGCAAAACTATGGGTTGTCTACAGTTGTGTAGGTAAGCATACATGTTTTTTTCCTCACAAGTTTACTTTCCTTTTTCTTTTTTTATACAATGTTCACTCGATAGCAACTATAAATGGGTGTAACTAGAGTACTTTGATATTTGCGTTACACTAACAACGATACAGTTATGCGCTACTTACAGCAAACTACACTATTTGAAGCACTATACTCTATTAACAATCTTGGTACTATATACGAAAACGATTTAATACTGTATATAAACAGATTTTGCGTAATGCTCTTAACAAAGGAAAAAAAGAAATAATAAAACAAAACAAACAAAAAAAACAATTGTTATTCCACTTTTTCTCTTTTAAAAATAACTCATTTCGATCGTCGCTGTTGATTAGTTGTGTTGTGGTTCACAATACTGTCGAAACTCTCCATAACATCCCCTCGCGGACAGAGGAAAGAAGCATCTGTGCAGACTTACGTGTTATCGGTAGATAATGTTACGTCTGTTTCATGTTTGTTTTTTTTTTAAACTCTTGGACAAGTGCGAATCAAGGTCAGTATCTGATCAACTATGCACCTACCCTTCCATAACTGAACATTAACCCTAAGTTATCAGGTGACTCACATGCTGGCATTGATCACCAAGTTCTATCAATTCGGTGAAACTTGGCGACTGTTTTGGTCGCTGACGAGCTTTAGAGGCTTTTGTTAGAATTCAACTAGTAGTGGAGGTTCGACTGTATGAACTGGTCATTTTGGTAGAGTGATGTTTATCTTAAAACGGTTTATTTTTGCTCTGTTCTAGTCCGGTGAATTTAGTAGACAGGTACGAAATAGAGTTAGCTTTGCTTGTGCGTTCAGTGCTACGATATCGAAATGCTCGGACATTTTGTTCAATGGGGACTTTACTCAAATATTCGCTAGGGAGTACATCCAATAATTTGAAAAAATGCCCTTGTACATGTCAAGTAAGCAACTATGGAAAATTGCGCTATTTAAAGAGGAAACTACAGGAAAGCGTTCAACGGCGAGAACTTCTTTAGGATACATCAGTGAGCTTTTTGATCGATACCTACTGAAGTAAGTTAAAGGTAGGTTTAAAACATATATGTAACCTCGTCATTATAAACCAACCGTGAATACATCGACCGATATTTCCGTAAGTGCCCCTATCAATGGTCCTATTAGGCAAACGAAAAACGATTGTGTCATCTTGCTGTCTCCTAACGATGTAAGGTTACATTACAGCTTAGTGCGAGGAAGAAGGAGTACTTGGTATGGTATTACTGAAGTACTCAACAATATTGAAATAACATGGAATATTCGTTTACACAGCTTTTATTATCCGAGCATCAACGTTTGCATATCAACATTAAAACAGTTACGCATATCCTAATGAATAAGGAAACGAAAATGATTACTATTTAAAGTTGTATTTACACGACAATGAAGTGATTGAACAGTTTAAGGGTTGAAATGACAAGAAGGCCTTATTTGCACAACTTTTATGATACGACGAACAACTTTTACAAATAACTATAGAAGAATCCCTAATCTGATGAATAATGAGGAAACTATATTTACGTGATCAAACAGTTCGGTGGAAACCATAAGGAAAAGTTTGGAATCTGCAAATGACCCTCTAGTCATTAACTAAGTTATATTGCTTTTTAATCAGCGCACTATGCAGAGTTTTTGTCTTTGGATCACGTTTGATAAAGTTTCGTATTTCTACACAATTGGGTTCGGCCTACAGACTTGATTGCACATGGCGTCAAAGTTAATTTTCTTTTGTCCGCGATGATAAAGAGTAAACCCTCGGACTTTACAGACTGTTTTACCGCTTTTGGTTTGATACGCAATTTGATATGTAGGGTTTAAAGAACCACTTCTTGGGATGCACCTTGTATTAGATTCATTGTTCAATCAATTTTTCTTACAACCCATGTAATGCATAGAACTAGGTTCGCTTAGGGTTTTATTCAAAACTCATCATTCCATCGCGCTCATCAAGAAGAAGAAGAGAAACAAATTGAAGAGAAAACGACCCAGTCGAGGAAAAAAACGAAACCGGAGCAGAAAGGGGGACTTTTCTCATTGGCAGCCCTTATTCCAGCCCAAAATCAATATTATTCATTTCCTTTAAAAAACGGAACTTTAATTAATCACGTTCCTAGAGTTACAAGTGGGACATGCGCTCTCCTTTTTTACAGTAATACTCACATTTCTTACTGACATCAGTTTAGTAGAAGTTAGATATACAGCGATTTCTCGTCTGGTAAACAGATCAGGATAGGAAATTTAAAAAATCGATCCTGAGGATCACGAAAATACGAAACGTTTGCTAGTATATATCGACGCAGAGTCTCTCCAAACTCGGGGTCGCCACACACGCTTGTGGGTTCATCCCACATTCGAGCCACATCTTCGCGTTGTAACGCTCCACTCCACTGATCGGAAAATAGATAAAAAGAATTAAAAATAAAATGTGGTGGCACAACACGTCTACAATGCAGAAAAGTGGAATCCTTCTTCACGTTACATTTAGTGAACCATTTTTTCAGGCAAGTTCCGTAAAGTATCTGATGATAGTTTGCAGGCTAACCCACGCATATTCCTAAACCTTAATTAAATTTTATTAATCCAAAACTATTTATGGAACAAAGGTTTTTCGGGTTTCCCAGGCGAGTTTTTCAAAGCCCAATTTATACTCTATTGTTCCATAGCTGTTAATGTAACAAAGATTTTGAGGGCTTGCCATGGCACGTTCTCAAAGCCCCTCAATGATCTATGCAAGACTGCTTTTTATCACATTAGAAACATTAGTCGCACACGTACATGCCTTAGTATTGACTCAACCAAAACACTAGTGCATGTATTAGTAATGTCTCGCTTAGATCATTGTAATTCGCTTCTCTATGGCCTACCTGATTATCCTATTCAGAGACTACAATATGTTATGAACGCAGCGGCAAAAGTGATCACTTGCGAGCAAAAGCTTGATCATGTCACACCACTACTTATTGAGCTACACTGGCTCCCCGTCCGTCAGCGTATTATTTTTAAGATTTTACTGTACACCTTCAAGGCACTCCATGGTGCGGCTCCAACGTACTTGACTGAGCTCATCAGTCCTCATGTTCCTAGGCGAGGTCTCAGGTCTGCTGACACCTTCTACTGGAGCAACCAACACACAAGCTCAAATTGACTGGCCTGAGAACTTTCTCAGTGTGCGCGCCTTACCTCTGGAATTCGGTTCCATTTGAGATTAAAAGCAGCGCATCTGTCTCTATTTTTGAAGCCAAGCTTAAGACCTATCTTTTTCGACAAGCATATTTTTAGA